TTATTTTAATTTAAAAGCATTTTTCGTAAACTTTAAATTTCGTTAAAAACCGTTAATTTTATAAAGTAATTTTTAATCATTTAAAACGTTATTTATTACTACGATTTAATAATTTATTTACACATTTTTAATAACGAAATTTCGCTTATATAATTAATATCATTTAACGTTATATTAACCATATAATCGAATTATAACTTACGATAAAAAAACTTTTAATTTTAAATAATCCTTTAATTTAATAACTGGTAAATAAACGTGGCATTTATAAATAAAAATTTAACTTTTGTATATTATAATTTAATCGATTATATAATTTTTTATAAAACCGTTTTATAAATATTAAAACCATCGATTAATAATAAAACTTAACGGTTAATTATTTAATTATTAAATTAAAGTAAAAAATCTTTAAATATAAATTTAATAATTTAAGCCTTTTTATTAAATTTATAATAAATTAATAAACCATTTAAAAAACGTCGATTTTTATTAAAACATTATAAGTTTTTAACTTTATTAATAAATTAAAAAGTAAATTTATAAGTATTTATATTATTATAAATATATAATATTATAATTTAAACTTTATTTTTTTTAATGCTTATTTAATAAATTATAATTAATATATAATTAATATATAATTAAAAATTATTTTTTAAAATAAAACCGTTTCGTTAACGTTATACGTATCGTCGGTCGCGTATAAATTAATAATAATTTATAATTTAATTATATAAAACTTAATAAACGATTTATTTATTAATCCATTTTCGTCGTACTTTATATATTTTCGTATATTATATTACTTTTTAAAAATAATTAATTAATTATTTAATTAATTAAAGTTTATACGATTTACATAAAAAATAATAATTAAAAATTAATTAAATAATTCGTAAATAATAACTTTAAACATATCGTTAATAACTATAATTTATTAAGTTTATAATTATTATTATTATTTAAAAAAAACGCTTTTAACATTCGAAAAATTTAATTTAATAACTCGTTTAATACCTTTTTTATTTTTAAAATAAAAACAATTTAAATAAACATATTTAATTAAAAAAATTTCGTAAATAATAAATAATAAAAAATAACGGCGATATTTACGTTAAATTTAATTATAATACTTTTATTATCTTTATTTAAAATATTATATTTTAATTTAATAAATTATTTTATATTACTTTTCGTTAATAATAAAACGTTATTATACAATTATTAATATTATTATAAAAATTAAAAAATTCGTTATTTATTAATTTATTTAATAAATTAATTAAATTATAATTACATAATTTATAATTAAATAACACGTTAATATTATAATTTTAAAAATTAATATTTTAATAATTAAAAATTAAAAATTAAATATATTATAATTAAAATTTAATTAAAACATTAAAATTCGTAAAAATCGTATAAATTTTAAACTTTATTTTTTTTAAATAAAATTAATTTAATCGGTTAAAACCGTAAAATACACCGTTTTTTTTATAATTTTATAAATTCCTTTTACTTTATATAATAAATTACGTAATAATAAATTAAAAAATTTAACAAATTCGTTATATAAAAAAATTCGTTATTTTATATATAAATTTTAAAAATTTTAAAAATAAATTCGTTAAAACGAAGATTTATTATATTATAAATTCGCTATAAACAGATCTAACTTTATTTTAATGTTTAAGACTAAAATTCGGGAAACGGGCTTTGCCACAAGCGCCACAAAACCCTTGGTCTGTGTGTTTGTATCTGTGGGTCGGGGGTGAGGCGTTTCCCGAATTCTAGTCTTAGGCCCTTGCGAACTGCTCAAAACAACCGGCACACATCTTAGGGTTTTATGAGGCTATATCGACGACGACTTAATAGGCAACAACAACGTTGAAAATACATTATATCTTAATCGCTCGGGGCTAGCTCTTTGCTTTCTCTACCCCCTCATCCTTTTTGCATACCTATACGCCATTGCGTTGTGATGATGCAGGCCTCGACGTTGAAAACATGTAATAATAGCACCGCAAGACCACATCCAAGACCACATCCAAGACCGCATCCAACATTGCACCCACAACAACGTTAAAATACCTTCTTTTTTAATCACTCGGGGCTAGTCCTTTGCTTTCGTTACCTCCTCATCCTTTTTGCATGTCTATAAGGCATCCCGTTGTAATGTTACAGGCCTCGACGTTCATATTGTAGCAATTGTTGCGGTTAACGCGTTGCGACCGGTGTTGCAACCGTTGCGACCGGCACTATAGCTAATTTCAACCCCGAAACGCGTACGTTTTAATTGATAACCTATCTAAACAATTGGATTAGTATTTATTTCATATATAAAGACTTTACTTACTGTAAAAACGCGTTGGTATTGATGTTTCTAATTGATTTTGATTGATATTGCTATTGCCAGTTGGGGGGGTATTGGGGGGGGTATTGTTCGCAAGGGCCTCAGACTAGAGATTAGAAAATGTTTGGGAGGGGTGGGACGGGGTTGTGATTGGTCGGGGAGTGGTGTGGCTGGGGGAGGTACATCCCCACGAACGATTTTCTAATCTCAGTCTGAGGTCACCTGAGATAAATCTGACTGTAATAACCCAATGATCGTATCCACGTCTAAGGTAAGGGCTTATTGAAGTCGGTTATTACCTACCGGTACTCACGCGGCTCAAGTTGCCTCACCCATAAAGTAATCATCCTTGTGTAAAAACGCCCGAACCACTAACATGCAAAATGCGTAATGTCCCACAAAGAGTCAACTCAACTGTTTTGAAGAGAAGAAATCTCCTAGTGGTCCATTTGACGCTCGTTAGTAAACATGGTAGATCTCAGAGCGCCGTGGTGGATAGCATAATGCCCCCTTGACGCAGCCGAGCACACTTAGGCGATCCTCTCTTCCTGCTTACAGGCTACGATTGGTCGTGGCAAAGCATTCTCTACCGTCTCCCTTACGCCTCCTCACGGCGCCTACAAAGCCAATTGGCTACCCCTAGCTAGCCCCGATGACGGACTCTAACAGTCTAGTCAGCCGCGCCTTAGCTGACGAGTCTTTGTATTGTACCAGTAGATTTCGCCAGTTGTTCATGACAATAAGAGATATTAAAGTTCCAATATCGTTCTCACTGACGTCGGTGGCATCTCTAGGCGAGATCATATAGGTATACTAACCTAACCTAGGTATTGTACATAGGTATGTATGATGGGGATAAACTAAGCCAGGTAGGTAAATAAGGTATCCATCACGGTCCACTACGAAATAAGATCCCCATGCGCGCAATGCGTTCGGACCTCTTCTTTGCATCGGCGACGGACCCAACGGCCTTACGGATTTTTCGGGAATGGTGTAATTACACAGGGTTGGCTCAGACCAGACCAGCAATAGAAGCCAAGACCTCGTGAGCGACTTTCATGCGATGGTTTAGATACTATGTAGATCTGACGTTACATCCCACGAGCCTCCCGTCAGCCACCGAAAACCGTACCGTCCACCGAGTTCGTCACCAGAATGCCTGCCATGGTTACCTACTGGTTCGCTACGCGAGGCTCTGGGCGATACACCAAATTTGATAGGTAACGAACATAATACATACATACCTACATACATACATACCTACCTACCTACTTACCTACTTACCTACCATTTACTCATCATAAATAACAAAACTCTCTTCCAATCCAATTCAACCTCACGTTCACCAGCAGCGCTGAAACCGTTCACGTGGGATATTGATATCTTAATGCATCCGTGGATAGGGCTAAGTGGGATGAAACGCGATTTGTCTCGATAAGATTACCTTTTTTACATGGGAACGGCGGAGAGCAGAGCAGAGGCCATGTTTTCGGCATCGAATCCCGATAATTAGTACTCCGCCACTAAAGATTCGGTTGGTGTACGACATCAGTGACGATATGAGGACCTGGACGATATATTCAGTAGTTAGTATTAATGGTAAACCGTGAGGCGAATGACATTCCGACCCCTATTCGGACTTGGAGGTTCTCGCTTAGATAACTTAACTAACAGGTAGTTAAGTATATTTGCTAACCATGATACTCAGCCAACTGAGTAGCTTAACTACTAATCAATATATGAACATCTTAAATAATTACACTAATACTATGTAAGATACCGTAATTTTTGCCCCTCGGACTGAAAAGTGTTGAAAGCCACGGCCTTCAGCGGCTCTACCAACGCCTTACAAACCGCGGAAAACTAATCTCTTGATAATTCGTTGGCGATGTTATCTTGGAGATATGCAAAAGCCTTTTCAACGTCAGAGGAACCTTGTGTTCGTCCCATCTTCAACGCCCCTCTAGCAAACGCCTCCTCGAACTCCTCTGTATATAATCTTCTCTGTGTCTTCCGTATCGATTTACGGTTATCCTTTGAACCACGGTGTTTAGGCAAGTTGTCCATCTCCCCAGCCTCGCGTATATATTCCTCCGTAGACGTATCGTTGAAGAAGACTTTGCTGTACAGGTGCTCATTACTAAAAGACGTACGCAGCGAGGGCCCTGTGGGACTTTCCTTCAATGAAAATGAAAAATTCCCATGGTCGATCATATAGAGTATCCAAATCGCTACTTTTAGAATCGTCCATTAGACCAAGAGACAAAAGGTAGCGTTTGCGCTCGGTCTTGCGTTTCTACCTCATCAAATCCATCATCCACAGCTTGTTAAGTGACGTCTTCTTCATAGTGTTTAGTAGGCGCGGCCACACGTATTTCCATAGATGTGGACAGTTGATGTCGAAAATGCCTTTATCCGCAAGAGCCGCTAAGGGCTCCATATAGACCGTAATTTGGCGGCCGGCCTTTTTGAAGTAGTAGGAGATTGTTTTTCACGTGTAGAACCCGCATCTCCAGAAACAGAGGCGTTGTCAACTCCGCTAGATCCGTGTATGGCGGTTGGGTTGGGGCGTCTTCAAACCCACGAACACGCAAATAAACTTAAACCAGCCTTAGGGTTATTAGAAAACAACTAAATCTCACCTAGATAAGTCAAGAGATGGATTACGACGCCTGACGGCCATGAAATAAGAACGTATATAATAGCTCGGTAGAAAATGTCGTCTTATGAGCTCCGAAGAGTACATATACACTCTTCCCAAGTAAAGGTCGCAGCCTCCTTTCTCCTAACTTCTGAAGTTTGGCCCCCCGACAAAATCGTCCTATACTAGCTGCGAAAGTAGATGAGAGTATGCTCCCTTACTGCTTCAGAATGTTGAATTATAACACAGAGCCCGCTGAGGTGTTAGCTGGATCGCTTCTCACAGTCTGTATCACATATATGCTGTTTCTAAGTCAATGTCTCGCCCGTCTCCGATATATTCTCTATTGCCTAGCGTGCTTCATGTCCCAACTCACTATCACTTTGCATTTTCCAATGACTCGATTAATGTTAATATATTATCAGCAAAGCACTTAGAGAAAACATGACGTTCAAAGGGTCAATCGCCACTTATTTTAGCATGTCTAAAGTATTTCATGCCTATCCACGCCACGACGACCCATACCCAAGCCATAATGCAAGTCAATATAATCAGCGCCGGGTAGTACCCGACTATAGGTAGCGTTGGGTCATCCTCGAGCTCCGGCGGTGCATACGGCGTCGTTCCTACATCCCAGGCCCAGCTCCAGACGTTTAGGCAGGAACCCATGCCTATCACAAACACGAACCACGTCACGATCAGCACGACCCATCCCCACCACTCCGTCTCGCTGTAATCGTGGTTTTCGTGCGCTGCGGGAAGCGGACTGGCCGTTAGGCCTTGGAGTGACAAGGGCGATTTGGCGTGTTTGATGGAACGCCGCCGCTGAAGAGAGGGGGCGCGGTTTTGGAAGTAGGAGTCGGAGCCGGACGATACTGGGGAGAGGTCCGGACGGAGAGGCGAAGGGACGCGGATGGGTATTGAAAGGATATCATCTTCGTCCGTGGTAGAAGTATACGATATGGAAGGGCTCGTGAGGTGCGATTCGTTATCGGGAGATTGTGGTGAAGACACCAAGAGGCTGTCTCTCGTAGCGTAGCCATCCATAGATGGTCGCGGTGTTAGGTCGGAGATCCCTAAGCCGAAACCCTCGTCTGCCGCCATGATTTGCGGCTTGGGAGTGATACCTGGGTCGGGGATCGCCTGTGTGTTTTGTGATGTATCGATAGCAAGAGGCTTGAGCTCCCGCTTTTCTCGCGCCGCGCCGCGACCTAACAGGGCAACTTTCCGAAGCGATCCTTTGCGCCTGCGAGTCTTTTGTTGTTGAAAAGTAGCAGCAAGGGCGCGGGGTGGTTTACTAGAAGGGTCTTGGGAATTCTCGGCATGGCGCGATTCGTTGAGACCGGCTTTGGTATCCGATGTGCGCAAAAAGGGGAACTTGGAGAGAATGCTCCCCCCAGAACCACTCCTTTTGCGTCCTCCTGTTGCTATATCGGGCGATGACGCATTCTGGCTTTGTATGTGAGCTGGAGGTGTGTTCTCCATTGTAGATCGTATTCCAGGCTTTGCTGTCCTTCAAAATAAGGGAACGTCGTGCCGATTCCCATCGTGCCTCGTCAAGCGAAGAAATACATCTGAGCTAAGCGAACGTGTATTGGTATTGTATTGTACATGGGGATTAATAGTGTAGCTCCCGGTCAAGGAGAAGTCAATGCGAGGGGACGTTCCCCCCTTGCAAAGCATTCAAGTATCCGCTATATCGCGAAGTGCGACCACGATCAAAAGCGACCAGAACGCTGCCGTGATTTAAGTCGTGGTTTCTAAATGCTGGCGTAAATCATGTAAACTTTCTTTCATTGTTCATAGGTAGCGGCTCTTTTGGGGCCGTCGTCTGTTATACAACAGCCCCCACGGTACGTTCCGTAAGGCTCTTGTATTGTACCTACAGGTATGCAGCCATAGGTAACTTTAAAACGCGCTAGTAATTAAAAGATGAGTTGGTGCAGGTGCGTGTACCTCCTTATAGAGGTAGGTATTGTACATGCCACCGCGAAGCACCTGCAGTGCATTTACCAGCACAGGGAAAGTACAATACAATACAAAATGCCACCGGTACACATAGCGAAGTAACTAACCTCTCCAACTTTAGATCGGTTTACGTCTAACTACACTAACACTAAGCCGAAAGTCAATTCATGCGACGCAATCGAATCAGATTCCCTCCGCATTCCAATTTGGATTAAGCAACCCAGCCAAGGCCACCGCACACCTCTTTCGCTGCATGCACCTCTAAACCGGGCGACCGCGGCTCCGGTCTGAAACAACCTGTCAGAAAAAAGAAGAATAATAAAAAAATAGGAGAGAGCCGACCGGAATATGGAAACGAGATGAGGTCGACATTCGATCGCATCCACGCGCACACACACACGGGAAACACATATACCACTACTAGGTATTGTACTACCGTGGGTAACAAAGTAATTCCCCATTATTTTATTTACCTATACATTTCTGAATCGGGATAAGCGCCAAATCGATCGGGGATGGCTCCCAGCAACAGCCTTGCACCACCGCCCATATCTATCACTCCCATTATCAAGACTCCCGACGACGATCTTGACCGCGACGACGATAGTCCTCAGGTGGACTTGGATTACGCCTTGTACGAGCGTAGGAGCTTACTACTTACGCCCGACCGCGATACTTTTTACGATCCCAATCGCTTATCGCCTGTAGCTCCCACTTTCCAAGTCAACGACTTCTCCAGTAGTCCTCCCAACATGACGTCCAGCTCGGGAGGTCCCAACGAAAACGCTTCGCCAATTGATATCCCCGGTTCCTCCAATGCCGTCCCGAATCCGTTCAACTTCCAAACCCAGGTCATCTCCACCTCCCCCGTCAAGCCGAATGTTGGCCAGCGCCGTGGCCACAAGTACAAGCACTCGAGCATCAGCGCCCAGCACCAGATCTTCCAAGAGCCGCCGCCACGTCCACCGCTTGCTCTACCGCGCGATCTACCTATACCCACTGTAAAAGAGGCTTGGAAGTCTATGTCCAAGGACCAGCGCCGCCGGCTTTATTGGTGCATATGCCACGGCGTCATCGCCATATCCGTTTTCCTCTCCGCCCACGGCTCCCTCGCCATGACAGCCCTCTCCCACCTAGTATTATTCGACGTCGGGTCAGCCCTGATCTGCGTGGCCGTCGAGGTCCTGGGTAACTTCGAAGTGTGGAAACGGAGCAGCATCCGGCACCCCTTCGGACTGGAGCGCGCCGAGGTGCTCGCCGGCTTTGCTCTAAGCATCTTCCTTATCTTCGGCGGGTTTGACCTAGTTAGTCATAATCTGAAGCACGTCCTCGAGGGCAAAGGCGGGCACTCGTCGCACCACCCCGATCCCCATGAGGGACTGGCCCCCAGAGTCCCACTCGGAGACGTTGATATGGCAAGTCTGGCCGCCATTATCGCAACCCTTGTGAGCGCGTACGGACTAAGAAACCACGCTCGCATTAGCAAGGTCATGCGTGTGAGCTACCTTGCTAGCCTACCCAGCGTCCTCTCGAACCCCTTCCACTTCTTAACGCTCTCCACGTCCGCCCTCATGGTCGTGCTCCCCCTCCTATTCATTCCTATCGGCGTCCTTCTCGACAGCACTATCTGCGCCCTAGTAGCTATAGCTATGTTCGCGCTCGGCCTTCGTCTCGCCATAGCCCAGGGCCTAATGCTACTGATGAGTTACGGTGGACGCTCCGGGTCCGGCCGGAACAAGGACGTTGGCGTCGCGGACGTGGTGCGCGAGATCGAGGCCGAGCCGAGCGTTGAACGGGTCGAGGAGGCACAGTTCTGGCAGGTGCACTATGGTCTCTGCATGGCGAACCTCAAGCTCTCGGTTAGCAGGGGCGCCGACGACGCGGCCATAAGCCGCCTTCGCGCTCGTGTGTCGAGTCTGATTCAGAATCGTCTGGGCGAGGGGTACGGCAAGGGCGGCAGCTTGAGATGGGAGGTCAGTCTGCAGATGGGCACAGCAGGGACGTACTAGCCCGGTAGTAGGTAGTGAGTGTTGCTTTTTCACGCGTATATGGCTTTCTCTCTTGAGCTCGGAATAAAAAAAAACTTAGTAATGGGGGTGTATACATACATACACGCACGCATCATACATACAATACATAATGAGGGCGGTGTTGGTGTTGGCGTTGGCGTTGTCGTTGTTAGACCTAGATAGGCACACAAAAACCAGACTAGAGTAGAGTGTATGAGGCGAGGCGAGGGGGGGTTAGCGGACGGCGCATACGTCTCGATACTTTTCGCTGTATATAGTTACTTTTGGCGGCGAGGCTTTGTACATATATACATACCTGTTTTTATGGCAGCCCGTGGGCTTGCAAGGGGGCGCAGAAAATGAAATAAAATAATAGTTAAAGGAACGGAACGGAACGATGTTTACTTGTGCTTTAAGGGTATATATAGGAGCTTATGGTGTGTTAGGTAGGTAGGTAGTGATGGTGAGAAGTGTAGTTGAGAGATGCCATCCATAAGTGCGCTATAACAAAAGGACACCCGAGGATATGGAAATACTGTTCTCCCCCTCGGTCTAGTATAGAGGCAATCATGTAAAGCGTATAATTTCCTGGGCTAGGTTGACGTGTCCATCAGATATATCGAACACTACTACCTATGAGGGATAGGTCAAATATAGGGTTAGCCAGTATATAGGAGTTCTCATGTATACGATATCAAATCAGAAATGCCGGCATGCATATATATACCTATGTATAGAACGTAGCTAGTTATTTCACACGCTGTATACCCCAAGGCCGTGCCTTAGATTATCTCACCTCCCTTCCCCTTATGTATTACATTGTTCGACATATCTAGGTTACTAAATTACCATGCCGAGCAGTAGTTACATCGTGAGCTACCAAGACGTGACCACATATATATAGTACCCCTTACATTGCCGTTAGTGGGCGTACAGGTACAGGGAGGGGAAGGGGAACGAAGTCGACAGATTCCGTCCTCCAACCTTGATGGTCAAGTCACTCGGCAGACAGATTGGGGTGAGGGAGCTTGGTTTAGCTTCATGCTGTATTCCATTGTGCTTACTACCTGAGATACCAGATAACGGAAAGAAGTCTCGCTATACTAAGAGTAGCTATAAATATCCGCGCTACAATAAAACAAGAGTGACTCACTCATCTTAAGTCGTAATAGAGAAATCCAATTTCCAACACAATAAGCATCGCTGTATATGCCTAGTTCCAGCATATCCTATCAACGACCGTAAGAAATCAATTCCGCACCAGTGTTAGTCGCTCCAGTGAAACCAACTCAAAACCCCACCTGGTCAAAAAAACTGATCTCGTGTCTCTGACCATATACGCGCTGGTACGCCTCGATCAACTCTTTACGAGTCCACTCGAATCTCTGCCAAAAGTCATCTAGCCTAGCCTGCAACTCGTGCTCGGCCGCGTCCCGGTATTTCAACGCTACGGGGCCCAGTTCGATGAATCCCTCGTGCTGGCGTTTGAAAACGAGATATTTGACCTTCAGCTTCTCGTACGCCTCCGAGAGCATTCCGAAGGCGGTAGGGCTTACGGGCAGGATTTCGTCGGGCCAATTCTGACGAAAGCCTTCGAACAGGCCCCTCAGCAGGTTGATCTGCGCGTCGACTACCACGGGCCACTCGTTTTCTAGAGCTACGATGACGAGCGGTTTGGTGAAGAAAAGTACCCCCTCTCCCTCGACGTCGTCTTCGGGGTGTATCCTGAAGTGGAAGTCGTGATGCTTGGGGCGGAGGGCCCAACAATCGCCTCGCCCTTCGGGGACATTTGGGCGGTTGAGGTGAAGTTCTCCGTCGGTCGGGATGATGTTCGGGGGCGCGTATGGATCGTCGTCGTCGTGGGTGCGGAATAACTCGGCCCCCGGATGGGTTTGATCCCAGCTAAGGTACTGAACAGTACCCCGGTTTTCTGGGCCTAATATAGATGACAGCTGTTCCAAAAGTATTTCCCTCTGTTGCATTATTGTCGGGCATAGGGGTCGGCCGGCCACGGGGACGGAGTGCGAATCTGTAGCCCACGAATATAAGGGGCAACATGTCTGGAGCTCTCTTGGGAGGATCTTGACGCCGGGACGGAGGAAGTATTTCGATATGACGTCGCCGCATAGATAGAGGAGCTGCGCGCGGCACATGGGGCATCGCATCTGGCCTTCTCGAAACTCGTTTGGATCCTAGACCTGCGTCCACTTAACGAGACATTCAGCGTGGATGCCGTGGGAGCAGGGGAGCGTTGTAAGCTCTTGCTCGTCAACATTGACCAGACAGATGCTACATTTCGTTTCCTCGGATGATATTGATGACGGCCTCGAGGGTTTCAGAGTCCCGCTCGGCCCTGCATCCGATTCCTCCATTTGATATACTTTACTTGGGTTTGTGTTTAAGATGATATATGTTTATAGTATCACCTGGAGTCTAAAGAAGGATGGTTAACGATCGTATGAATATAGATGCCTAAGAGAGTAACGAGATAAAGGTAGGATATCAAACTATTGGTGTTGCATGGAGAGGTTCAATGGGATATCAGGCGTTGAATTGTTGAGGATGAATACATATAGGTACCTAGCAATTAATAAGGCAAGTTAAGGTGAGTTAAGGTACCTTATGTAGATTAGGTAGTCATGCTGGTTTAGCTGGTAGCACTTGACACTCTTCAATACTGGAAGTTGCGGCGGTCCATGCCCAAGAATAAGGAGTAAGATAAAGTTAGACAAACAGCAAGCAGCTACAAGCGCACCTACCCAGGTTGCGTTGTCATGTACTCACTTCCTGCTTTGGCCTTGAGAATTTGAATCAGAGTTATCCCTTCTTCCCATCCGCATCCCCTTACCTTATTTGACGTCTATTAAACCAAACTTACATCGAAGTATAAGACAAACGCCAACTCTTATTACTAAGTATAATAAATAGTATAGATAGACTATCGACGGAACAATTGTAGAACAATGCCCCGAAGAATATTGTTGTCGCACCGAGGTTGAGTAGTTAACATCATTGGGCGAAGCTTCTCTATTAACATTCAACTCAGCTAAGTCTCGAGTAGGCGAGTAGACATATTCCATATTCATAAACCGACTAGTTACGAGAAAGAAAGAAAGGAAAAAAAGAAAAAAGAAAAAGACGTTACTATTTCCCACGAAATTCCTCAAATAAACGTATCTTCTCACATAATAGTCCACTTACAAGTTACTAAGGCACTACTACAACCATCGAGTCTGCTTCGACTTAACAATCGCGTGCACGCATTTATTACCAGAGCGGAGAATTCCCGGAACTCGTCAACAGCCTATACGCAAGTATGAGGTATGCAGCAAGACATGGACTTACACGAAAAAAAAGCCACTGGAGCGCTACACAACATGTAAATCCACAAGCGGTTGGGACCTGGGGAAACCGGCGTATTCGACGGCTGCCGCTTTAAATACCACGATCCCGCCAACTCTAACCAGGGCCCATCATCTCCAATCTGCACGCAGACCAGATCAGATCAGATCGAAAAAGTGAAGGGCTGCGATAATCAAGTAGTCAAAGCCTCGGCTAGGGGGGGTACGTCGGCCATAAATCGCGTTCTGCAATCGAGCCTTAATTTCCGTCTGCTCCTCCATCCGCAACGTAGTGGTCTCGTCTGCGCGTCTCCGTCCTGGGGACAGAATCCTTCTGGTGTTTCACATGGTGACTGGATTGGGGACAAAGCCGCGAAAGCAATATCTCGACCCGTCTCGTTTTCGCGTGCGCTCGCTGACGATGATGTGACGGGCTTTCTCTGTGATATGCGACAGCAGCAGATAGACGGTGCTCGGCACCTGGAGCTGAGCTACAAGTTTGGCAAGTCGTAAGTTATGTATGTATGTACATACATATATATGTCCGCTGGTTTTTGGGGTCACAGCTTGCGGACTCGAGTGCGCCGGGAGACGGGAGACGGGAGACGGGTTGCATTCAATATTTGTCCTGTAAGCGACGAGGAGAATATTCGTGGCACTTTAGGGGTGCGATGGAAGGGATCGATCCAAGTTGTACGATAGGTAGGTGAGTTGGTTAAGTAGCGGCCAAACGATACCCCGAGGGATTAATTGCATCCATTTATGTATGACCTGACTTAGACTTGACGAATAAAGGGTGGTTTCGTCATTGGTTTCACTGAAGTACGTAGTGTACTACTACGTAGTACATCATGTATCCAGATGATGGTGGAGATGGAAAAAAGGTGGCGTTGATAATTCCCCTTTTGTGGCTCATAAACTATTATCCACCTGCAGAAGGGCAATTAGATTGATACCTCTTAGTCGAAACCTGAATGTGTCGACTTGCGTCCCGGATCAACGTGGCACAGCATCGACAAATATGAAGAAGCAGAAGCTCGTTTGCGTTGGGGCATGTTATGTCGATACTATCCTCGAGTGAGTTTTAACCCCCCCCTGTTGCATAATAATAAGCATGGCCTGACTCAGATCAATCTCACCTACGTCGTAGCGTGCCTCAATACCCGGGCGAGGATTCTAAATTACGTGCCACCAATTTACAAGTCCGTCGTGGTGGCAACTGTCCAAATACGCTTGAAGTGCTTCAGCAGCTCCTAAAGGGACGGCATGACGGCGATCGAGACGTTAAACCTTACCTGATATCATGCTTGCCCAGTGCCGATGCACCTGCGACGGCAACCATAGTGGACTCCTTTGGGCAGGAAAGCCTCGTCGATTTCACGAGGTGCATATTCCGCGAGGATCACCGGCAACCGGCTAGCAGCTACATCATACGTAGCGAAGCCACCGGGAGCCGCACCCTCGTTAACTACAACGACTTACCTGAGATGACGATCGGCGAGTTCGTCGCCGCCGCCGACGAGCTCGGCGACGATGCCTGGTTCCACTTCGAGGTATGCCTAACCCACACGGATAGGCGGGTCTGCAGGTTCTGCAAAACCGGGGGGATGCTTCTGATCTGGAACTCACCCCAAAGGCGTGCATAGGGACGGATACCTGAAACTACGTTGCAGTGCATTCGGCATCTGAGGCGGTCGTTCCCCAATACAAGAGTAAGCGTCGAAGTCGAAAAACCGGGCCGAGAGGGATTAGAAGACCTGGCGGCTGAAGCGGACGTTGTGTTCTATTCGCGGACCTGGGCTGAAGTGAGTCACCCCCCTTCTCCTCATGCGAATACGGCGGTCATAAAATGCTGTAGGGTTGAATCAAGTCCCGGTTGAGTCGAGTTAACGTCAACCCGATCTCCTAGAGTAAGCGGTACGGTAGTGCTCAGCAATGTCTGAGTGCCCAATCGGGCGTGGCCCGCAAAGCGTGAGTTACATTGGTCCTGTTCGCTAAAACAAGAACAAAAAAAAAGGCGATGCAAGCACAACGGTGCGCTGAGATAATAATAATGATTGCAGGAGTCTCCTCTGCTGTACGTGGGGATCGGACGGTGCATCGTGTCTATCACTTCCTAGTGAGAAGGCCGTGTCTTGCCCGGCTACCTTGCCTGGGCAACCCATTTCCGTAGTGGAGTATGTCAGACCGCCGAAGACAAGCCCAGAGTCGGGGCTTCGAGGTGTCATCCTAAAGAAAGCAACCTTTGGAAGAGAGAGAAAGAGAAAGAGAACAAGATTGTAGACTAACGATATCCCTGCGTTAGCACCGTAGGAGCAGGTGACACCTTCATTGCCGGTATGTTGTTCGGGCTGCTGTGCCACCACGAGGACTGGGACACCGAGAAGAAAGTCCAGTTTGCTGTGCAGCTGGCTACGCGCAAGGTGCAACAGGACGGGTTTGGCGGCCTTGGATCCTTGGGGTTGGGGTTGGAGCGCCAGGAAGTGGCGTCGTCACAATGAAACTGGACGATCGATTATGAGATGTGACTAGCGAGTAGCTCCGTGGTCGTGTGACGGGAGGAAATAATATAAGAATAATGATAACAACAGTCATCATCAATTAAAAACTCGGGGGGGCGCCTATTCTGGCTGGGAGCTGTGACTAGAACTGGGACAGGGACCGGGACAGGAATTGGAACTGGAACCGGTTGCCAAACACACGATAGTGTTATTTAGAAACATTCAGGTTGTTTAGTTCGCATAAGTTCGGACACGAAGCAAGAAACCGGCCATTAAAGGACCTATGTACATGGATCGGTGACTTCGTAACGAACGTACGTACATATCGTATGTACATATCCCGGGGGAGAAGGGGGGATAGAGGGGGGAAATCCCATCCCTTGGATTGGGTAGAGCGGTAGTATTATGGTATTTGGTATGATTGGTATGATTAGTATGATTAGTATGTATACCTTCGTATGGATTGTGTGGCTGTATGGTTATGGGTAATTGTGCATATGCAGAAACGGCCGATGCGTTTTGTTGCCGGGCGTGGAGAAGGAAAGGTGAAAAGGACCGGCCGAGACTTGGATGATCGTTCTGCAAAGGGGTCCTCGAATTAATACATACCTACATACCTAAAAGTAATAGGGAGGTAAGAAATAGGGTAGCTATGCAACTATGGTATGTACATAATAAGGGTACAAGGAGCGGTGAAACTGTGGATTTCAATCAACAGTTGGTGTGTGAGATGGATTTGCCCGGAATGGTAATTCGTAGGAGGTAGGTATTCAGGGTATTTCAGGTATTTTAGTAACTGCCATGTTACCGTGTAAGTGGTGTAAGTGGTGTAAGTGGTATGTAAATAAGGGGGGGACCTGGCACGGGTAATAGTCCGTAAGTATAAGGTAACACATAGCAACGTTATTAGTCGTACATAAGGGAAGCTCTTCTTTGCTATGCTACCTAATGTACCTATATATGCAACTATTTCCGCATTTTATCGATACGATACGATATCCACATCTGTATTTGTGTCTAACTACACTATATACATAGTGCAAGTCCAAGGTTGCTTTGTCCAAGTTGAGTGCTATATCTGTCGCATCGCATCGCATCGCATTCCACCTTCGGCTCCCCATGCGAGTCCCTTGTGGATGCCGGAGCCGCTCTCCTGTGCTCCGTGAGTCTGGACCCCCGGGACTCGCCCACTAAGTCACTATATACATACATACTATGTAAATGGGGGGAAAACCTACGTATGATGGCACGACGAGTCGTATCGAGAAACTTCTAAACGTAGTGTAGGATTGGACGTCTCAGAACGAAACTAACACATAGGTATTGCACATAATATTCGGCCCACGGGCCACTAGTCCACGACAGCTCCCTTCTTTAAACTTATTAACTACTTCCTCATGTATGAACCCCTAAACCGCGTGGAATATACATACATGTCCGGCAGTGTGCGTGGCTGTTCTGTAATCGTACATTACGTATGTGCCTGTCGCTACGGATGTTGAAAAGCCGCGTCAATACCTTAAGTACAATACTTTTACGGCCTATCGTTCCTTGGTACAACACCGAAAATCCCCCCTTTATCGAAATCTGCCTGACTTAAAACCGACGGCGCCCCCCCCCAAATCGAACTTCTTGATGGTGGATGGGTTGGGTTACCTGCCCCTCCAGCTCAAGAAAGCAGCTGGGGCGGTATGTAGGCTACGAGCAACGTTGAACAATTAAGTACCTAATGTATGTATGTATTATTCCGGAGGATATGCGGCCGCTATGTACGAAGATCGGGTCATTGGTTGGCTTTTGCGGGAGACAGTAGTCATGACGCAACCATCTCTTTACTTTGCTTTGTACGAGCGTTGGGGGGTCATGGATTTACCTATTCGCTAACTTTCGTGTAATCATGTATAAATTTATGTATATACCTAGGTATGTATGTATGTTTGGCTAGTAATGTAGTGGACCTGTATCGAATATCGAATGGGTAAGTGATGGGCTACGTGCTAGATGATGTGCCGTCGAAATTCATGTTCGATCGCTTTGAAGGAACTACTTCCGACGACAAGATGCGCAGAAAGCTCGGGCATTTCGGTTACCATCGACAAATTTCCCCGCGATACTAAAAAATTTATTTTTTTCATTTTTTTGTTGCGGTCAGGCGATGGGAAAATTCTTAGCGCTTTTGCCATCGTTTTGAGCACAATACCGTGGACGTGCATGATGGACCTTTCCGAAACAGCATTGGCTTTTTTTTGTGACTTCGTTTGCCTATCTATTTTGAGAGGTGTGATGGAGGTCATGGTCATGGTCATGGTCATGTATCCGGATATATACGGCAGGGAGTAATCCATACGATGGATGATACTCCTCCTTTCCCATCCACGTAGACTTCGATATTGGTTTGCGCGAAGATTACCTACCTACCTTAGATTACCCCCTACTTCGCCCATGCTGACGGCGCCGAGTCTACATAGGTAGGTAATAGAGACATAGGCTTTTGATGTTATTATTGATTGCTAGTCTTGGAAACAAGTCCGTCCTCCATAGTAAACTACCAACCGGAGTTCGACCCTGATCCTTTCCGGAACGACGGTCTCCTATGTAATGTAATAAGTGAGCGTAAGACAATATGAGCATAGCAGATGAAGATGTCCAGTTGTCACTGTGATTGCGGTCAATTGTGTCTTATTCGGGTCTAATACACGGAGTGCTTAACGCCATGCATGAGTATGTCACTGAACGGTGGCTCAGTTATTGTCCAGCGGAATATGCCCTCAAATAGGTTTGCTTGGCGGTACTAGTAATAAGTTCTTAGGTATTCCGAGGCTCAGTCGTGGCTCGGAGGAACAGGGTTCGGGGGGAGAACGTTAACAGTGTTACCCGGACCATACATAGGTAGTATGTAGGTACAATACGATAATTAGGTGTACCTATTGCGAAACCCAAGTCTGACGCTACCGATATTACTATTGGCGTTGACGACTACAACTGAGCTATCGACTGACTTCACCTACGAGGGATCGTCAGCCTCCTTTTTTGGCGAGTGTCAGGTCGGTCTAGGTTGGCCAAATGCGAAAATTCATCTTCAACTAACGGCCTACCAAGTAGCATGGATGGGATCCATTTACGGTGGACAGGCTCAGCAAAGGCAAAGGTGATGTCCTTTGAATCCACTCGCCGGATGCACGCCGAAGCAGTACTATGTATTTGGTGGAGGTACAACTCTGCACATCTGGAATCCGACTTCGTTAATGCGCCTAATTAACCAATATGTACAGATTCCTGAATGCGGGCTGAAATTGTAACAGGAAAGGAAGTTAAACTAGACCGAGCGCCTAGGATCGGGACCTTGGCTGAGCTCTCTCAAGTCCCTTGCACACGCTGTAATCAGTAAGGATCCTTCTAAATAATATACTTACAGCCTGTAAGTTACAGGTGCTCTCGTTCTCGTAAAGGATGTGACCCCCTTATGAAGGCCTGTATTGTACGTAGGTACTACATACCTACCTACGTATGGTCTCTAGGTAGGTAGCAATCGTGGACGATCTCTGCGGCACCTTGACCGTCTAACCCCCACAGCGAGACGGACAAGTTACAGCAGGGATCGATTTGATAACCTTGTGAGATCTAAATCAAGTGGCCAGCCAAGTTCTAGGCTGGCAGGGCTCGGATACGGCTTTACTGTAAAAAGAAATGGAAATCTTCCAGAGAATTCCCTGGCGCCGTTTCTACAACACATCCCTACACAGGTATCATCCCTATCACCCAAATTCCCCATCTTATCCATCATCCATAAGATCTAACCGAAGTAGGCACCATATGCCTAGTGTATGTTCGTGGCTGATCGTTTGTATTTACACTTTGCGCATAAGCTTCTCCTACGCAATGGCGTCTCCGACAGGACTCCGCTAGAGCCGTTATGCATTCATTGCTACGCAAAGGAGCCGTGGCTAATAAGATTGAATCATTTGACTTACATGGCGGGCGTGGCACGGGATCAGTAAGTACATACATACATGTCTGGTATGTGGTGGGACGGATAGGATGGGTGCTTTAAGCACTTCGCGCCGGTCGTCTAATTGAATCGTGACGATGACGATGGTGGAGTTAAAAAGACCTTCAGATGGACATGCATACTGCGCAACCTTGAATCGTGAACGCCTCTTTGGCCCCCCTTGATTGACTGCAGCGCCACACTTTGTTGTTTTATTTAACAAAGATGTATGTACTATGTAGTGTATGTATGAGGACTGGGTTAGCGCTGTCCCCTGGTCAAACCCACAGCTGACGAGTACGGTTAGGTATGTAGGTTAGGTAGGAGGTATGTATGTAGGTAGGTAGTTAATGTTGTAGTCACCAAGTCACCAGGCGGCACGAGGAAACGAGTCCGCATTTCAAGCGCACAGATCGCCTCCGGGCTTACTTCAAGGTAGTTGGACCGCTCAGTTGGCAACGTAACCACGCTCAAATAAGAGGCATACTATGTAAGAGGCATGTATCCCTACCGAAACCCTGACTATTTGATGGGCGCGCCATGATCGTCAAGTGGAAAAGAGTTGGCTGCACCAAGGTGTTGTGGAGACGGATGTCCAACTGGCAACTGGCTTTTGGCTTTTTTACACGATCCTGCTACTCATTGCCCATTTCACAAAGTGACATAGGTAGGCTAAGATCGGTTCGGAGTTCCCAAGGAATCGTAGCGCATTTGTTTGGCCTTCCTCAAGAAGGATCCCATGTTATTAGTTAGGCGTTGCAAGGTACTTGTTCCAGATGAATACGATATATCTACCGCGATCAGCCATTGCGAGGTTTTACAGTAACCCATGGGATGCCATGGGATGCAGGTATGGATCTTGTTTCACCGAGCCTCTTTTTTAAACCTTATGAGCTCACAGTTGAGAGAGAATGTGACCCGCGACTCGCGATCCAAAGTGCAAAGCCCTTTCAATCCCGTTTTACCTGCAGGTAAGCTGAAGGTGGCTCGTCGCAACAGACGACTAGGTAATTAAACAGAGGGGGACTTGTAAAACTTTATTGGTGTGAAACTGCAAGAATAGCAAATTCGAATTCGACCATCTCTGACTCGCAGAGTTGCTTGCAAGCCTCGCGCATCCAGTCGTGACTGGTGTTATCCATGTCGGCGACTGGATTGTCGAACGGCGGTCCTACACATTCAACGGGAATAGCGTAGCTGACCGAATAACATGCGAGATAAATTACCATAGTCCCACCCGTCCTGATATCCAGGTGTCCAGGTGTCTAGCAGAGCAGGGCTAAGGGAAACTGCTTCGACAAAAGCCGCTTGTGCGACGCTTGAATGCTACCTGCGTTAGGTGATGCTTCAACGATCCCGGATGAGCGTTGACATTGGTTGACTTGAAATCATAAATCGCAGGTAAGAGCAATCCCGGACTGAATCCTTGGAAGGAATTTGGTTGGTCGAGACATGTGTCGCGTTGTAACTCATACATACATAGTAGCAAGCCGGTAGACGGCTCCGTTGATGAAGGAAATTGGGCAGCTTGTTTCTTCGAGACCGGGATCTTTCCACCTGCCTGGGGCCTTGGAGCTAACGGATCCGGGCATGGAGGGTTTCATTCTGCGCGCTACTCACGCAGATACACTTTTTGGACAAGAGGCTAATAAGGACCACGAAATATGATGATCGGTGGCTGAGTGCACATGTGTGTGTACTGTAGTGTAGGTAGTGTATGAGTGTAAGTGCGTGTACGTGTTATAGACATGTACCTTGTATTCGAAACGACGACTGGAGTGGATGTCGTACTCTACCGTGGTATGTTTATGTGTTGCAACCCTGATTATACCGGCGGCAAGAAGGTCGGTTCTCTACCGACGTATGTAGAGAAGCATCATCATTAATCATTACCATAGCGAAACAAATGCAGCTAGCCACGGTTGACTACTCGGTTCTGGCGGTTAGTACCGGTACGGTTTGTCGTATATTTTCTACCTGGTCAACCGAGTGGAATGTCTAAGAGCCAACCTAATTACTGCGTATGTGAGGAGTCTTATTAGGATATTGGTAGGATCTGCGTCTGGCTTTTGTTTTCTGTATTGTACCTAAAGTGACCCGAAAGCCCGTGGGCCGAGTGAGCGGATTATGTGCATTGAATTGTCGTTGTTTGAGATTGAGAAATGGAGAAATGGCATCCATTAGTTTAATATCCACAATGTCAAGTAATGGGTAAACAACTTTAGATCCATGAAGCTTGATGGAGCTGATAGTGTACATGATACATATACATACATAGTAAAAGCTATATATTTTCAAGTACCTAGAACTAGTTTGTCTCATTGGGTTGTTGCTGAACCCCTTCCTACCTTGGTAGCCACTAAATCATATCGATTATACGATAGTAGTGCTACGGTACGTACCTATCCTTCCTTCGACAGGTTCAATAATCTTCCTCTCACAGGGGTGTTTTAGGGGGAGCTAGTTAAGGAAGGCAAGGAGCAGGCGCATGGAGAGGTCGCCGGAAAAGTACCCTACTGAGCACGGCAGGCGGGTCTAACATCTGATATTACCTTACCGTACCTTCAAAGCTAATACCTTGGTACATAGCCCGCGGCGCAACTTCTTTGCTGTCATGGGATAAAACCCCAACAATGATGGATATCCATGGATCCATGTACGTACATATACATATACGTAAGGCACATGCATTATGTATGTATGTATGTATGCATGTATGTATTATGCATGTTCTAGTTTATGTTCTAGTTTAGGTATATTTATTGGACCCTGTCGGTCTTGTCCACACGAGAGACAACTTTAACTCAGATCCAATCATAGCTCCGAAAATAGTTCCATTTTAAGATGGGATCACAATTCAACCACCACAGGTACGATCTCGACCAAGTCAATATCAGGCTTCGCCTAATAAGAGTAGTACGTAACTCCATACATGTTCCATACATACCTCTTTGACCTGCCACTAGTTAGCATATAGTAACTAAGTATTTTTATAGTGTGTGTAACTAGAGCACACTACTGAACCGCATGGATTACTTTTCTTTTCTTTTATTCCCTGTACGCATGCTTCTGTCGAAACCCGAAAAGACTCCTTGCTCAAGCCTAAGTAAATACACTAAGACTTTGTTAACAAGAAAGAAAGGAAAAAAAAAATTTACCTAAAAAACGGATGGCATTCCTCTTACGTATGTAGTACGCAGTAAGGCAATACACTACTACATTCAGCTACCCTTGGTGTTAAACAAGGTTACCTTTGAATATGTACGGCCGCCATGGCCGTGCGCCAACGGGCCGCAAGGTACGTATGTATCGCATACACATCGAGACGATTAAGGTAAAGTGTCGGGTTCGAATTTGTCTTCTGACGACTGAGGAAAGCGAATACGTCTCGCCTGACAAGACGATTCTTTTACCAAGTCGACGCCATCAAAGCCTTAAGTTTCTATCCATGCAACTACTACACGGCATACAGACAAAAAGAAAAGGTCTTAACTTGCTTGAAATATAATAAGGGTACATTAGTGTATATAAGATACATTATACATGCAATGTGCTAAGGAAACATACCAAACGAACGTACAGACATGAGTTCGCCTCCGCGCACTCCCCACACATTCCGCCAAATCTTACCCCCCTTTCCTTCTTGATTCCGTCCTAAGAAAAGCGTTTTACGTCTTGGCGCGGTGGCCAATTTCGAGGCCTGGAGACAAGCAGACAAGCCAGGGCTGCTCCCTGGCCCATGCCCATGGTCCGCTTGCATGGCCCACTGGGACGGGCTAATGGTGCTAATGGTGCTAATGGTAATACGTGCCATAGTAAAGCAGCTATGGAGTTGCGTAGCGGTAATAGTCACCTACCCCCTCGGGTTCGACTAGCATCATATTCCTAGTATACCTAGTATAAGCTAGACCTCGTCACCTTTCGTCGGCAGCAACCCTTCTCTCGCAGGGGTATGTTTATGTGGTACAGTACAGTACGTGTATTTAATGCTATTATCGAACCAATCACGTCTGTGCTGTCCGGGGTTACCTTACCGATGGAACCGCCCTGGATTCGAAGAAGCATCTGCTGGATCTCACCGGAGCAGCTAACTCGCTCTTATGTAAGTTATACAATATACAATTACATCCAATCCCCTGATACAATTTAATATAGTACAAATATACATTAGACTACACATGTACATTGCGTACGTGAGTCCTTTAGATCCTTGCAAGGCCGTAGTCAAAAAAGCCAAAAGCTATCAATTAACTAGCACGCCCCCTTTTGCCGTCTGACACCCCACCACCCCCCCTTGAACACGATGTAATGAGCCTATTAACAACGATCATCAAGCAAGGCTCGCTCACTTGCGCTAGGATAAGCACACATCCCTTTCCCCTTCCAACGCACCCTCCCGCTGAATTTCGGCTCACGTTCTACAAGTTTACACACCCCCTTTCTGCGTTGCACGCCCTTTACACCATCCACTTTCGTTTACGCCGCAGGAGCACGGTACGGAAAAGGTAAGGCAAGGCAAATGGGGGCCAAGGGTAGTCCTGCGACAGGCGTCTAGTACCTTTGTCTTTTTTGGACGTCGTTCAAACCGTTCCTTTGACCGCCCACCTATTTAGAAATATACCTTGCAACAACCGACCACAGGAAGGAAAAAAAAAAAATCAAAGACTGTAACCCAGTCTAGCTTACAACGCCAACGCTGCCATCATCACCCGTCCGTCCCCGGTTATCAATACAATGAAGGATCCCTTTTTAGACCGACTAGACCCCTGCCGGAACCATATGACGCAGGAAGAAAAATAATACAGCTAAGTACAGCTAAGCGGGAACCGTCATACAGGTTGAAGCAGACACGCGCAGACACGCACTTACTTACATGCATACATACTACATACATACACATGCCAAACCAGACCATGTCTCTAGGTAGGTATTGTTTCTCGGCCCTATCGCCCCAATATAACCATCCGTATGCCATCTCACATAGCAACTGTCCCCACGCTTTTAGTTTGATTTATCCTTTTTAATGAGGCCCTTTGCTTTCTCATGTTACTACATTCTTGAACTTAGTAGCCTAAGTTAGCCTTTGAATAGACCTCATATTTACCTGCCCGTCCTCCCTCTATCCCGAGGTTTCTCTCACTCACCTACGAAATCTTCAACGGAATATTCATAACCTCTTTACATACCTCTCTATCCAACATCTTATCACCATGATGCCCTCACTCTTAGGGGCCAGTATGCCTCATATGCCGCCTCAGAGCTACTCTACGGGTCCAACTTTTGATGAACTATCCCGGCAGTTCGCTTTTTCCGATTCTATGCGAAGGATATCTCGTGGTTCGACTGGGCAGCGGACGCCGGGAGCTATGCGTATTGTCAAGCCGAGTAGTGCCAACAATAGTCCGCAAGCCATGATGGCACGGCGGAGGACTATGATGAACGACGGCAACCTTGCTCAGCGTCGTCAACAGGCCCTGAACCAGGCCGTTATGCAGCAGATGCAGCAAGACTGCACACCCTATTCGGCACCAGAGGATCCCATCAAGAGGAATAACCGGCCAGTTAGTTGGCATCCGACTTCACATCTCCAGCAGCCACAAATGCATATACCTATGCCACAGCCGGATTTCTCCCAATACGTCGTCCCAGCACCAATGTCATATCAGCAGACAGACATATATTCCGGGTACCATCTACCACCAACTCCGGCGGTATATTCCGGCCAAACCTCGCCTATATCCAGCATGTCACCGCTATGTTTACCATACGCGGAATCTTCTCAAACTCATCCTACACCAGCTTACATATCACATGATGTGTGGAACCCTACGCCGCAGTTTATTCCTAATTATACAGTAAACTCGAGCCCCGGCGAGTTGGAACCATTTCCGTCTTTTGACGGTCAAACTTCATTCAACTGGGATAATACCCTTGGCGCTCATGACTTCCATTCTTGCACGGCCCCTCCAACGCCGGACGAGTTCCAGCCCGTGCAACAACCACAACCCATGGTTACTCCTGAGGAGTCCATACCGTATCAATCGCTTGAGGAGTCAGAGGAAGAAGGAGAAATATTAGTGGGCATGGGACTATACGATCCGCCAAGCAAGACGGATGAAGATCCGAGCTTAGACAACTACCGAATGACAACATCACAATTACTAGACACGACCTATAGAGGACGAGGCCGCGGATGGAAACTAGAAGAAGCTTGGGAACCGCCAGCATCAGATGATGAAGAGGGAGATGACGAAGAAGAAAACGAAGAAGACGAAGGAGAGAAAGAATAAGCTATAGAGCGAACCTCAACCGAACAAAACTGGATATAATAAATCCAGCATTGATTTCCGGGACAATTATCTACAACTCCATCCGGAAATGAGTGAGGAAATGGCAAAGGAATTTTGTGCCTGGTAAAAGGACATGCATATCATGCATAGAAGATTTGTAAAAGATACCAATAGCTAGAACAAGACTAGTGTAGTTATGAAGCACTTAGCTCTGACAGTTCGAAAAAAAAAATCAAGAAAATACTTGAGAATCTCGATTCACTGCAAGCATAATAAGAACCAGTGACATGTCATTTGTGACGACTCGTTAGCCGCGGCAAGTGGTACTTTTTAATGAGAATGCTAAGCGTTGGACTTCAAATCCCTAGAATTAATTCATCACGACTCTGAAGCCGTTGCGTGTAAGTGTAAGTGTTGTACCCAGGTATCCTTAAAGATCTAGGTTAGGCATATATGGGAAGCGCCTCTGATAGGTCCAGACTAATTTACGTTTGTCGATATGCAGGGGACTAAGCTCGAGCCCATCAGGCTAAGCAGGGATCTCCAACGTTCTATTTGGGGCTCTGCGTCCAAACCGACGCTGCTGCTGCTGCTGCTGCTGCTGCGGAGCTGCGCATGCAGAAACAAGGAGGAGGGTACGTAGCTACGTTCTCTCTCTTTCTCTCTCTCTCATGTCCCCTCCCCCCCCCCCTCCCACGCCCTGGCCCGAGACGGTCCCATGTGGACTGTTCTCCACTCTACCCACAAAGATCCTCAAGTTAGGAGATCCATGTGGGGCGCTAACGAAGCTGTGGGTATGGCTGCCATGCAGTTATGCTTGCGTCACATGTTGCTCTAGGAGGTTTCCATGCACGGTCGGATTTTAGTGGGCGCTTTTTTTTTTTTTCTTCTTCTTTTATCCTTTCGCAACTATCGGGCTGGCTGGATCGTACACTAATGGGGTGAAGAAAACTAATGCAGCGGAACTAGCCGTTTTGGGGACAATCCGGCCGAATAATGTAAAATGTCCACCGTAAATATTCCCCCTCCCCTCCCTTCCCCCCTCCAACAAGCAAAGCACAAAACCTCCTCCATCCGTCACGAGAAAACTATCGTGGACGATCCCGGCTAAGGATTTAGTAGCGGCCAGCCCTCTTATTTTTTTTTTTTCTTATCCGCAATTTATTACTCGGTCCTACATACATACACTACACGAAGATTGTTTCCGACTAAGCTGCCCTTGGCGTGTGCCGATTAATTACTTTTCGTGTTGCTAGTGTACTTGCACGCGGCAGATCTAGAATACGGGTAGGTAATACGCTAAGTGAAGCCTCTTCATTTCAGTGAAGTCGTTTGCTTACTTCAATAACTTGAGTCGGTAAGATTTGGCGAACATATGATGTCTAGCCCGTGCATGTTTCAAGCCTCTTGCCTATGACACAAGAGTTTATCGGATATTGAAGGCGGCCGAGATACCCCAGCTGATAAAATCCAGGCGCTTCCCAGTTTGGGGGAGTTGGGGAGGGGGTTAAGTTTTATAGGAGGTAGGTAGTTTTACGGAACGGAGGGAAGATCAAAACAATGAGGAAAAGTAAAGATCTCTTGCCTCTACCACGTATACTATACAGTTAAAAAGCCAATATAATCATATTCTATTATTCTGACGAGCTCAAACTCCAACTTGACCTACATATATAGGATGTAGGTATAGTGAGTCACGTCGGCGTCGGTGTAGACGTGTCTAATCAGATAGTTATCGATAAAGTAACTAGTACGTATTCCGTAATCGGAACCCCGCGTGCCCCTCCATCGCAATATCAAATCTTTTAAGCTTCAAGAACCAAAGCTTTCCATACTGAATATTGGACTTAATGATATACCAAAACAGTTGAGCCATTGATTAGTAAATATTTGCAAGATGTCGGCCCAGTAAGAATCTCAAACTTCCTATTGTGTAGTTCTATCTTCTCATGGATTTTATAGGAAAGTATTGATGCTCGGAGCGGGTTTCGTAACCCTCCCTACACTCCACATTCTGAGCGATGCTGGCATTGCAGTGACCGTTGGTATAGCAAATCCACCCCTCCTAATAGTTCTCTACAGTCAATTGACCCATTCGAAGCTTGCAGAACCCTCGCATCGGCCCAATCCCTTTCTAAGGGAGTCAAACACGCCACCCCTATCTCCCTTGACGTGAACGACGACAATGCTCTCGACGCCCAAGTTGGCAAGCATGACCTGGTCATCAGTTTAATCCCCTATACCTTCCATGCTACCGTCATCAAGTCGGCCATTCGCCAGAAGAAGCATGTTGTCACGACAAGCTACGTCTCGCCGGCGATGTTGGAGTTGGACCAGCAAGCCAAGGATGCTGGTATCACCGTCATGAACGAGATTGGCTTAGGTAAGTTCCTTCTTCGAAGCTTGCTTCCCATGTCTACTGAAAACTAACTGGCTGTCCTGTAGATCCCGGCATTGACCACTTATGTAGGAATACCCGCAAGATATGAACCGAATACGCAATGCTAACTCTTTCAGATGCCGTCAAGACAATCGAGGAAGTACACAAGGCTGGGGGCAAAATTCTAAGCTTCCTATCGTACTGTGGTGGCTTACCGGCTCCTGAAGACTCAGACAACCCTCTGGGTTATAAATTCAGTTGGTCCTCTCGCGGAGTTCTCTTGGCCTTGAGAAATGCGGCTAAGTACTGGAAAGACGGCAAGGTAGTAGACGTTGCATCAAAGGACCTGATGGGTACTGCGAAGCCGTACTTCATCTATCCCGGTTACGCTTTCGTTGCCTACCCGAACCGAGACTCGACTCCCTACAAGGAGCGGTACAATATTCCAGAGGCACAGACCATCATCCGTGGCACTCTCAGATACCAGGGCTTTCCCGAGTTCATCCGTGTGCTGGTCGACATCGGATTCTTAGACGACACCGAGCAAGACTTCCTAAAGCAACCCATTACCTGGAAAGAGGCTACACAAAAGATCCTAGGCGCTTCCGCAAGCAGCCAAGGCGACCTCGAGTCTACAATTGCGTCCAAGACCACGTTCGCTTCACCGGAGGAGAAGACACGAATCGTTAGCGGTTTGCGATGGGTTGGTATCTTCTCGGACGAGAAGATTACCCCCCGAGGTAACCCATTAGACACTCTATGCGCGACCTTAGAGAAGAAGATGCAATACGAGGAGGGAGAACGAGACTTCGTAATGCTGCAGCACAAGTTCGAAATCGAGAACAAGGACGGCAGCCGGGAAGTTAAGACGTCCACCCTATGCGAGTATGGCGATCCCAAGGGCTACAGTGCCATGGCTAAGCTAGTGGGTGTTCCGTGCGGTGTGGCAGTCAAGCAGGTACTCGACGGTACTATCTCCGAGAGGGGCATTCTTGCTCCGATGAGCTCGAAGATCAACGACCCCTTAATGAAGGAGCTAAAGGAGAAGTACGGCATCTTCCTGAAAGAGAAGACCATACTGTGAGAAGTCGGCTATGTCGGCTGATTTAGCTACAATGATGCAGTTGGCAGTGGTAGTGCAGTACAAAAAGGGGGCTTGACTAAACCTCGAAGCGGCCATGAACATTAGTGCTTTCAAAAAGGTAGATAAAAAAAGGGCGGGCTCGTATGTATGTCAGGAACTTAGCAAAGATATCCGTAAATCGATAGAAATGATACTAGTTGCCTTTCAAGAATTGTTTTCAGCTGCCATCCCCTGCCGAGTATCCAAGATAATTAGTTACCTAACGCTAGTAACACGGAGAAGGATAACTTGGTTGGACTGGTTTACCCTTGAATGTGTAGATGGAAAATACATACTAACATAAGCGCGTATTTTTAGCCGGTTAACTGGTCAAGTACCTAACCTACATAGTATGTACCAAAAGGTACATAAGGGAAACCCAAAAAGCGGTGTTTTCCGGGTAGCGAGGTGGGGCAATTTGCATAGCGAAAAGCTACAATTTTATTTCAATTCTTGGGTATCCAATGACTCGAGACTTCAAGGTTTAATCCTCACTTCCATGTACTTATTTTATTCGCTACGGCCAAACTCTCAAAACTGGTTATTCGAAAAAAGACCGCCTTGGTTTAGATTATTACATACAACAACCCCCCTGCTGCCGCAAGGGCAAGTCTTGTCTTGTCGGTTAGACTCTGGACGACTGACTGATACGTCACCTACCTGCTTATAGCTGTTTTCCCCGTCGGATCATACATACCTATATAGTACATATATAATGGTGCAGTATATCCACACGCCTTGGCGGGACCGCGGCGAGCTGCTGCGTGTTCGTCAGCAGTTTTACCCAGCCGTAACTGGCAGCACAGCCGACTCCTGCGATAGAGAAGGGGACGATAGCGGAAAGGGGAGGGCCGAGGAGGAGGCGGCGAAGCAGCACGCCGTGTCGCGCGTCTCCATGTGGATGCAGCGCGGCGGCTGTCCCCACTTGGTCGAGTCTACGGCCCTGCTCGTGGCCGCCCTCCTGAGCGACGTCCGCGAGACCAGGGCTACTTCGTCGTACGCTATTCGCGCCGCGTACGCCGCGGCTTTTAGTCGGTACGTATAGCGTTACTCGTTTCCTGCATACCCAGTTGTTCCCAGGTTACGTTAGTGGATCTGTTCGGAGTATCCGGAGAGGGCGATCTAGACTCGTGGCAGCCCACGTGGTAGGGCCGGTAGTTTAGCTGCCGTGCTCGTTCGACTCAGCCCGGCTAGGCAGGCTGCGCACATCATTGTACTCGATAATTGCGTTCGGGCTGTCGAGCTATATTCGGCTAACGGCGTTTTGCCTAATTATAGCTTTGTAACCGGTCTCTTAGACAGCCAGCAGGACAAGCAGCGCAAGATGAGCATGTACTCGATCGCCAAGACGATCGGGTTGCCGGCGACTTTTGTCGAGCTGCGGCACCAAGCTACGCATGAGCAACTGCCGTCTCTATCGAAGCTCAAGACTGCGGCGAAGAAGGCACTGGCCTGGATATGGGACTACTACTGGAAGAATCTGCCGGGGGAGGACGGTAGTGCCGGTGAAGACGAGCCGAATGCTTGCCGGGGTTTATTATTAAGGTATTTAGGCGAGGACTCGACGGTGCAAGAGAAGGTGCTGCAGAAGCGGTTGAAACAGTGGGACGAGACGGTCTTGCTGCAGAACTTGGCCGAGATCGAGGATTCGTCCGAGGACCCGAAGGTCATCTCCCGATGTCTACGGTTGTCGCAGGCTATACTCGATGGGGACTTTACGTCTTCGTCGGTTGTGAAGAGAGACGCGGAGAATATGGCTGCTATAAGGACGTTGGACGATGTCAAGGCTGATATGCAGGCGTTGGACGAGGAGCTTGAGGCGGTAGAGGGTGTTGGTAGCATATCTACAGCTGTTGAAACGCCTGCTCGGATACCGTCGAGTCAGGTCAGGGGGTGGTCGAGGTATGAAGGACCGTGGAAACCGAAGCCGATTGGGGTTGTGTAAGTAGAGAGCATATTTACCTTGTTTGGGATACTATCTCTACGTAGTAATGATTAAGATGATACATATCCCCTAAATAATATACTTACGACATAGACAATTCATATGTGTGTTAGGTACGTGATATTATTCTATTTACTATTTACCTAGACTTCAAAGCCGTGTACCTATATCAAGTTCGAGTAGAGATTAACGACCTTGGCGTGTATTAATTCAGAATAAGTTTTATTCCTATTTTCATAGCGATAGTCTCAACCATATAGTTACTGCAGAACATATACTGGCCATATGACCTACAAGGTAATGATTGAGTTAAACTTCATAAGTAAGCCGAATGTTCCATACTTGTGACAAATCCAAATAACTTGATAGGCCATCAAGAATCTTGACACCACTTGCCAGCTGGTCCTTTCCAATTCATAGCTTCGTGCCGGGCCGTCCAATGACAAATCGACGTCATGGATTTATAGCTATGAATCTCCAAATTCGTTTGTAAGCATCGGAGTATTAGTCGAATCACGAACCATAGTCGCCTACTTACCCGCCTCACATACCTTATGAATTACCTTGCAAAGGCAAGATCTCTACTAGCTACCCGGAGAATAGGCACTTCGACCGCAGCTGTAAGTTACTGGACGCACTTTTGTTGCCATCAAGGGACTCGCTGTTAACTCCGCCGCAGCTTACCTTCACCCGCAAAATGCAGATCCAATCAATTCCTATGTGTAAGTCATACTACGTATATGTAACCTGGTCTACCTATACCTGAGTGGTTAAAAGGGACTTAAGGACTCATGCATTTATAGGGACGGGGACGAGCGACAACTACGCCTATCTCCTCGTCGACGACAAGTCTAAAGATGCCGTTATTATCGACCCCGCGCATCCCGAAGAGTGAGCTAGAACTCATAATATGCACACCTCATATAGTGAGCGCGGTCTAACCTGGAGATTCAGGGTTACGCCCGTCTTGAAGAAGGCTATCCAGGATGGCAAGATCAACCTCACAGCTATCGTCAATACACACCAGTGAGTATCTTTTCCATACCTCTTTTAGGTCTTGTAGCGCTGACGACGCTTACAGCCATTGGGACCATGCGGGTGGAAACGACCAGCTCGTTAGTTTACACCGTATCTTCTCGTATATATATTATATATATACATACATAATATTCCTATGTGTCACGCGGCATTCTAATCTAAACGATTACGTAGAGAAGTGATCTGGGCACTCCGAACCTCCCTATCATTGGGGGCAAGGACTGCCAGAGCGTCACACAGACCCCTGAGAACGGCAAGGTATTCAAGCTCGGGAACATTGATGTGAAGGCCCTATACACGCCGTGCCACACGCAGGACAGTATCTGCTGGTACGTGAAGGACGGCGACGACAAGGCCGTCTTCACCGGAGATACCCTATTCCACGCGGGTGAGTATGCGCAGCATTGCTCCGCGGTCTACGGTGGGCCTGGAAGACCCGAGACTGACAAAGCCTAGGTTGCGGAAGGTTCTTCGAAGGCAATGCAGAGGAGATGCATACGGCCTTAAATAAGACGCTGGCTTCTCTCCCGGATGATACCAGGGTCTATGTACGTGTCTATTTGTCCTGCGTCAAGAGGGCCTGCTGAAACTTTTTACCTATACTAACACTGGGTAGCCGGGTCACGAGTACACCAAGTCGAACGTCAAATTTGCCGCCTCGATCCTACAGAACGAGGCCATCAAGAAACTACAGGCGTTCGCGGAGAGCAACAAGGAAACGCAAGGGAAATTTACGATCGGCGATGAGAAGGTAAGGCATACCTACCATCTCAACCAACTGTGACCGAAGGGTTGGAGCTAACGGACTTGGCATAGCTGCACAACGTGTTTATGAGAGTAGAGGTAAAGTGACGAAGACCCGTGAGCGACGAGATGATAAAGCGCTGACTGATGATCGCGAAGGATCCCGAGGTTCAGAAGGCTACGGGCAAGACGGATCCCGTAGAGGTTATGGATAAGTTGCGGACTATGAAGAATAACTTCAAGTGAGTAAGTAGTAAACGCTGGTGGTCGAGGTAGTAACTAAAACATTCATCGAATGCTGACGAGCCTAGACCACCACCCGATAGTAAGATCTGAACATGGAATATGTGCTTCTTATATGGTCACTGAAGCATATGCACGTTAGGTTCCCTAAGCAGAGCAGCTATCACTTGTAATACCTGACAATTAAATATAAACCTCATGTGGTATATTACTATTCCTGGGTCTATATATATCTACCTAAACCTAGTCATCATATAAGAAGGAAATAGGAATTTCTCCAGCAAGCACTAAGCCTCAGCCCATCTTCAACGTGCTGGATGCCAATCGAGCAACTTGCGGAACGCCGACCTATAAGAATAGGACGGCGCATATCGTTTCATCTTGCTTCACTGTCCACACTTGCTCGCTGTTTGTATATCGAGACGGCAAGCTCTAGCATAATTAGAAGCTGGTAATGTTACATACATAGGTATGTATTACATTAGGTACCTAACCCAACTACCGCATCGGTCCATCCATGTCTTGTCCCGGCATTCCCGTAGTTCTTTGCACGATTTCCCCGTGTCTCGCGATACGCTGCGCTCGCCTGCCCTGCCTTAGGTACTTACCGTGACTGGCCGTCGAAACTGTATTATTTATTTATTGTCCTTGTAGACGGCGGCCTGTATATAGCTATTGGAGCTATAGTGCGATGGAGCGGTATAATGCCATTTCGACGGGATGATTGATGCTGGGCGATATGCGCTGTGTTTCGCACTGAGAGGATTCTTTTTCTAGTCGTGACAAAAAGACGGGAGTAAAGAGGTTGGAAGGAAGAAGAGAAAGTGCAGAAATTTTCGGCAGTTTAAGTAGGAACCAAGTGGGCTGTTTGTCGGCTGCTAACAGCTGCCGGGTTTGTACCGTGTTTATACTGGGTCCGATCTCCTTAGCAGCTCTTATGTCCAAACGGTCTTTTAAGTAAGTGAGTACTTCTTTTAAGCACTCGTATTTTACGAGGCTATATCTATTTTACGTATGTAGAAGTCAATTACGTGACGTAAACGGTAGGTAAAAGGCAAATTTAACCAAGTTATATGTAGCCCAACTATATTTATTGATACATTTAACTAACTACGTTATAACATGAGACTTCGAACCGGCGGTCTCAGGATGTTAGGTACCTATAAGCCAGATCCGGCCTGCCCTCCTATGCTCCTCGGCACGTCGTCATGTGCCCACATCTAACGTTCTACGAGTATTGATACCCTACGAAGCCTATCAATACGATCATCATTCGTTTCGTTGCGGTACCTTCGGTACGAGCCACCAGCTGATCCCGCCGACGACGAACAGCGCCAATACGATAGGCTGCAATACGGCTACGCCTGCGTTCGTCGCTATCAAACCCGTGATGGAGGGGAATAGAGCACCTCCGGCTTGCGCGAGTACGAATATGAAACCTGGGTACAAGTCAGTCTCTAAGCTACTAAAGACACTATTCAATCCGTATATATAGGTTAGGTTAGGTAGATAAAGAGATTGGCCGTACCTAGAGCGGCGGGCTGTGATTCCCGAGGGAAGAGCTTCGAAGCAACTGACATGCCCTAGACAGAGGGAGAGTATATTAGCATTGCAACCAATTATTCAAGGGTATATATATATATAAGTCCCCAGCAGCAACACTCACCGTAGCAAAAAACGGCCCAGTAAAGAAGCCGATAAAACTCAGCGCCACCGCGCTCCCAGCAATATTCGGCTGCAGCCAGAACACAAGCTGCAGCGCGACGCACAGCACGCTATACGCCAGCAACATGCGCTGCTCGCCGTACCGGAACGTCGGCTCGGCCAGCAGCAGCCTGCCCGCCAGCATCCCGCCGTAGAACCCGGTCGGCACGTACCCGGTGGCCGAGAGGTCGCCGCCGCGCACCGTGGTCAGGAACTCGACGACCCAGCCGCCCGCCGTGAAGTTGGCGCCTAGCGAGAAGAAGTAGAACGTGCTGATCAGCCAGAGAGTCTTGGACTTGAGCAGGCGGGCCATGTCCGTCATAGCAGCGCGGTTGCGCTTCTGTCGTGGGGCTGGGGCTCTGTCTGTGGGGGTGGTGGTAGTAGTAGCCTCGTTTAACCTGCTCCAGAGCGAGTCCCGAAAAGCGACGGCCACGCCGGCCACGTTTAGTACCGAGATCCCGATTAACACCAAGTACACGCGCTTCCAGCCGTCGATGGCCATGGTATTGGTGCTCGTGGCGATGGCGGTGGCGATGAGCGGGCCGATGAAGCAGCCTAGGGAGTAGCATCTGGGCAGCAGAAGTTAGTAACCTGGATATTTAATTCTTAAACATTTAAGTCTAACTAGTTAAAAAGAACTCCTGGCGCTTATAGGTAATGGTAGTGGTGTAACTAGAAACTCGGTAAAGGATATATGTAGTATAACGTAACTAAGCGAAGGACAGAGCCGGAGGTGAGTTGGTTTTCGACGTTATATAGGTACCTAACTAACGTACGCGTGTATAAAGCTAAGCCAGCGATGCGGCACGTTCTTGAGCCCGCTGACGAAGGTGTTGGAGTGCGAGTCCTGGTACGCCATGCCGAGCGCCTGCAGGAAGAAGGTGATGCAGAAAAGGGGCAGCGGGCTCCACGGCCGCAGGCAATGCGCTAGTAACTGTAGCGCGGCGCCGGCGCCGAGGAGTTGCCCGAGAGTCATGTGTGCCGTCATGACGGGATTGGTAACGGCGGCTAAGAGCCAGCCCGCGAAGGTGGTTCCGTAGCTGGATGTTGGTTAGCACGCTGCTCTTCAAGCGGCCTACATACCTACACTGCCTAACCTATACCGATCGTATGTAGCATAGTTACAGCGAATATATATATATATATAGAACAATATGTGTTGCGTATAGTTAAGCAAGTTTACTTACATGATAGCGACCTCGCCCGTACCAATCCCGAAGCCGGCGATGATATACGGGATCAAGGGCCCAAGCGTACCATCGTTGACCCCGGCGCAGAAGAACGAGTACCCCGCAACGATCAGCTTGAGAAACGGCGTCGCGGGCTCGCTTCTAGCGATATCCGCATCGGCCGGGGCGCCTTCCGCGTCTTTGGACGGGGGACGGCGGAGCTCCGTCATGGGGTAGACCTCGGCCTCGGCCTCGGCGAGCGAGGTCTGTGTCGTTGACATGGTTGTGTTTTGACAAAGAAAGGTAACTATAGTTGACTGACTACCTAATAGTTAGTTAACTAAGCTATAAAGAAGATAGATAGGATAGGATAGTCTGTCTCTACATAGACGACCTATCTATCTGATTATCGCCCCTCTTAACGAGGATTGCCGCTGAAAGAAGGCGTCTACTTATCCACGTTCGCGCCTTTATATACATATAAACCCAACCCCTGACCTTACCATTCCTCCCTTCCGCACCCCTGAATCTCCCCGTCGGTTGAAAATCGGAAGAACTTCAAAGCATCGAATCGGAGGCGCTCCCGCTTTTAAGCTCCGCGGATCGCCTTTGCCGGGAGGAAGCGGTTGCTCGGCTCCGTGATTGGACAATTGATGTGTTCCCCACGGGGTACAGCAGCTGTGACTTGGATGGAGTAGGTAAGTCAGAAGCCGCGTCCTTCAAGTGTGGTTGATAATCTTTAATGTAACTAGATTTGCCGAGAATATTGTTCATAATTGCTTTACTTCGCTAGATTACAACTACGACTTATAACTAGAATTTAGGCATAAATAACTTACAGCCTGTGATAATCGACGAAAATGTATCGAAATCGTAGACTCTATCATCAACAGCTAGGTAACTCGGGGTTAAATAGGCCATGCATTAAATTCCTTTCTAGAGAACTGATACGAATTAAATACTAAACCAATCCCCATGATGACATAGTCGTAGACTGATAAATATTCGCTCTACAGGACGTACATAGTCAAGCTGATCCGCTCTCTATCACTATCACTATAACCATATAAAACCCTACGCGTTGCGCTGTGGCGGAAGTCCAGGGGAGGATGGGGACGCCTGTGCACCTCGCAGATTGATGGACCCGATCCTCGACACGATATTGTTCCCGACGGCATCTACTGCTCCTCGGGGAGATGTTAAAGTCGGGCCTTGGGCGGCAGTTTCCTGCACCTTAAACAACTTGATCGCCGTTCCGTTCCACACGCCGACGGTACCCTTCGAGACCTGCATTTCGCTTGCGAAAACGAAGCTCCAAACAAGCGATTCGTACCAACCTAGAGCTAAGGGCGACCATTCGAATGAATGTACTCTAATCGGGGAAGGCTCTATGCCGACCAAATCTGCCTCTTGGATAGCCTTCAAGGTTGCGGATGACGGTACCTCTGCCGTCAGTCCTTGCCGATTAATTAACACGGTCAGTTGCTGGATAACGGTGAGGATTGTATGGAGAGGAAGCTCGGGAAGCCAACTCTCGATCCATTCCGCCGAAGGTTCGAAAATACCAGGTGCAGATTGACCCGCTGCTGAATAGCTATTGAGACTCGTCACGCTGTTCTGCCGCGAGAATGTCGGTACGCCCGCAGGCATCTTCCCCCTAGCTTTCTCCGACATTCCCCTTAATTGTGTTGGTACTGCATCTTCTACGTCGGCAACAGAAGAGGCTCGAGAAGGATTCTCGCTCGGACTCGATTGTGCTGGTGTCGGTCTGTTATCCTCCTCCTCCTCATCGCTATCATCCTCAGCGTCGCCGATAGCAAACGTCGTATCCTCCTCTGGCACATTGCTTAGTGTCGGTGTTCTTGGTTGTGTTGTAACGGGACTGCGCAGACTCTCGACGGAACTACGCCTAGAGCTTGCATCCAATGGGTCCAGTGACTGTCCAGTTTCTTTCCTTCGACGGTTTCTTCGCTCGAGTTCCTCTTGGCCGCTCTCAAGCGTGAAAGTTCGTAACGCTTCAAAGCGTTTTCTGTTCTTCAGTATTAGGTAGATAAAGTGAGGATTCTCTGTATTTGCTGTTAGAAAGATTTGATAGTATGAATTCACATGCTACTTACTCTTGTATTGATGTTCAATCAGAGCGTTCATCGACTCCAGGAGAGATGCGAGGAGGCCGTGATTGCTATCATTAGCAAGAAGAAATGAAGGAGAGGACATCGAATTGAACAACTGTAGTAGTTTTGAACCTGTCGTGCCGTTGATGCCCTCTAGATAAGCAGCTATGTTGTTAATCACGGCAAGTAGCGCCGGGTATATGGCGGAAAGCTTGCCCTGACTTCTTGTGATGAGGTTGTATATCGACTTCGTAAGAGTTAGCCAAAGGCACTCTTAGGAGTGTACGATCTGCTTACCTGTATCAAGAAATCGGCATATGTGCCTTTAAACCCGGGGATTCGAATGACAACTGGCAATGTTTCCTGTCCTTCGAAGTGCTTGTTAAGATTGACGCCGAAGTTCTTCTCGACACTCAACGTCTGTAGCAAGAACGCGCACATTCGTACAACGCCTTGTTTTGAGGCATCTGCCTTATACTCAGTGGCGTAGAAAAGGAGGAGGATAACAAAGTCGTGTGCCCTCTGCGTATCGATCATAAAAGATCTAAATCGTTTGTTGCATTGGGTAATCTCCCAGAAGAGCATTATTATCTCGGGGGAGAATCTAGTCGTAGTTTGGGTCCCGGGAATATACGAGATGTTGGCCTGAATAGGTTGATTGAGTATCCGCGTCATACCATCGACGATGAATTGGAAATCTTGAGGACGATGTAGTCTTCCGAGGAAATGGCGATAATAATTCTTGGGTGCAGAGCCAGTAGCGGGCTCGGGTATTGGATAAATAAGGGTGACTAGCAGAAACTGTAAGGTATACGCAATGAGGATCTCCTTTGGATCCTTGAACATAAGAGTGTTATAGGGCACACGCCAGCTTGCTGGATTATATTTGAGGGTCTGGGAAAATTAGCATTTGGAGAATATGTTTTATTGAAAGCAGATCTTACAGTATTCAATAGGGAACACAAGACGGACAAGACGACTTGCTTATCCGGACATGTGCATATATATGTCAAAGACCTGGCCCCCCTAGTTGGTAGTATGTTGGGGGACATGTACATGCTCTGACCTGCCAAGGTCAAGAGAAGGCGTAGGATCTCGCATCGATTACTCTCATACTCCTTAGTCGTAGGTACGGCCGTGTTACAGCCCACGCCGCTCTGCCAGATGGCATAGGTGACTTTTGGCTTGCCATGGGGCTGCTTCGGAACCGTCAGGTCAGAGAAGAAAAGGAGGTCGATGAGGGTATCGATAAGCTCCTCTGCTAAAGGCTTCGTCTCCTCGAACTCATCAGCAGGAAGCGGCTTCGCATCTTCTTCTGCTTCATCAAAAAGCACTTCGTTCGCGATAGTAGCTCGTCTCGTCCGCTTTCGCCTGGTACCCCAGAAGAACTTGTCTTCCCAGCCTTGCAGGTGGTCTACTTCATATAGGTAGGGCAGAACACGGGTAAGGATGCGGATGCAATTCAGGGCATCGCGCTCGGGTGCGAACTCGGGATCGGGGAAGGAAGGATGATGTCGCAATATGAAAAGGCGAGACGTCACGGCGAGTATTAGAGTTTCTAGGTTTTCAATTGCTCTATCGCGAGTTCGGCGAATATCCGCAGGCGCAAAGAGACTAAAGATGTCTTCGGAGGACTCCGGGAGCTCCCAGAACTGCGAAGGATTAGAAAACAAAGGAATTTAAGTAAGGATATAGGAGATATAGGACTACTACTAACAGAAGTCCAATAGGGATCATCGGCAGGTATATGTCGTTCTTCTGACAACCTGAAGATGCCCTTTTTGAATACTAGCTTGGAGTCGCTGGCACCCATCGCGATGAAGTCATAGCATGTCTACATCGAGCGACGTTGATTGAATCGGAAAATAGATTTATATAACCCAGCTCTGCTCTTGGGGAAAAGCCGGGGTCGAGGATTTGTAGTTGTGGTATTACAACTTTAGCGATTCTGGTCCAAGTCTAGAATCTCATTATGGATTAGAGTTGCGGGCTTGCCATTTGCTGCGTTGCATTCTGTTAACTTCAAACGCGCTACCTATGTACATGTATTGTACCTATTAAATCTACCGATCCTATAAGGTACGGGGTAAGTATCTAAGTACCTATCCACGTACCCCCATACATATGAAACCTGATTGAAGTGCCGGGTTCAGTTGTTATCGCTGCACAATAAAGCTCCTTATCGGCATTAGCTCACAGGCCCATTATTTACGGTTACTTAGGTACATGTTATCGTAAATTAGGTACGTGCAATAACATGAACTGATAGAGATCGTTACATGTTGTATTCTAGTTAGTTGCATTTATTTAGTTGTCTTTTCCTTGAGCTGCTTCCCTTCAGCCATAACTATACACTTATACATAGACCATTAGTCCTATAAACATCAGAGCGTACAGCTAAAACGCCTTTCTAATATCCATCATTCTAATTAACAAGGTATCATCGACAATAAGGAAAAACAGACAGGTATATACGGGTCATTAGTTACCCTTTCACTCTCCCAGCCCCTTTAAATGATAGCCGTAACAAAGTAAACATCAAGTCGTCTTCTAGAATGGTTATTGTCTTTGGTTATCGGGCCGTTCTACAGCCGTGTCATCGCTCGCCTCTCGGTGTGGGTGTTCTCGCTCATCAGCCGGCGGTGCAAGAAGCCCTGGACTTGGTACCTTTGGAGCCGGGGAATGAGTTTTCCCAGGGATATCCTCATTACTTCCTACAGCTGTCTCATCACTAACTTCTCTATGCGGTTGGCTGCGCTCTTCGCCCCCTGGAGGCGCCAGAAGTGTTGGAGCTAGTTGTGCTGGCGGGGATGATGGTTGCTCACCGGTAGTGTCGTCGTGAACTACCACCCGTTCTAGATCGGCTACCGCTGGCGCTGGTGTTGGTGAGGCCGTAGGCCGTAATCGGGAATCCGACCGCAAAATCGAAGCGGCTACCCCTCTTACGCCAGTAGCAATGATTTCGGGTCGATCCCAAGCCAGGAGACCCGATCTTCCTGTCGCACGGTTGACATGGACTACATTATATTTTGCCTTAGCCCAACTAGGGCACATGTAGTAGTCCTTTACTTCGTCCTGCATCAGCTCGATAGCCTCTGCTTCCGTGTCCTCGTTCGTACTAGGCTCATCTCCTAGAAACACTGTGATTCCGACTTTAGGTCGTGAACGAAGTTTCTTATCCACCTCCGGATATCGTGCGCAATATGCCCAGAATCTCATAGCTGACTCTGGACCAGGGAGCCAAGAAAGCTGAGTGAGGTTAATCACCTCTGTAGGTGCAAATTCTTTCTTGGGATCAAGCAAGCGGAGACTCTTCAGTACGAAGACTAACAAACCTGTTGGCGAGTCACACAGTGCATATGCCAACGTGTTTGGCTCCCGAAGACCTAATTGGTTTAATCCGAATTGAGCGGGAGTTGGTGTTTTCTTCGACGAACGGGCAGGGCCGTTTCGTTTAAGAGCAGAGAAGTCCTCTTTACGGTAACCAAGAATAGGGGCACGAAATAAACTCGCAACGGACCATTTTGCCCACTCGACCGGTGCTTCTCGGAGCTTCGGTCGCGCCAAAGGGGGTGATATCAAATGAGCACCTAGGCAAGAATCGGAATAATGAGTTACCAAATAATTGGCAATTTTAAAGTCGATTTCCGCAGGCGAAGCGACTCCAGAACCCGCATTCGTTATCAAGTAATGAGGATACGAAAGCCGACTCATTAATGAGTTCAAAATTTCTGCTGTGGATGGAATTACCGGGGAATTATTCGGAAGCGCGTCGCTAAACCCTAAGCCTGGTAGAGCGGGTATAACCAGGTGGAAGGGCTGATTATTCGCGACATCTTCCGGTTCTGTGAAATGCTTGACGAGGTGTCCAAAAGAGAGATTTGAGAAAGGGAATGGGGGTATCAAAAGAAGGGGTATTGCATTTGAATGAGAAGAGCGAGCATGAATGAAGTTAATTCTGACGATTGCTTCAGATGAAGGTATCGAAAATCCGGTGCGAAATTGAGGTAACTCGGTATTCAAGAGATCTTCTTGCGTTCTCCACGAATACTGCTCCAACCTATTTATTTATTAGTTTTACCGATGCTGCTGATATAACTTTATAGACATTCGGGGATACACAAGGTCTGTATAAGTGCATTCTTCCAAACCTCAGCTGAAGGGGTTGAAGACTAACCAGAAGTCAATCAGTGGTTCTATTTGAGACTTTGGCTCCCACCAATCTCTCGATTTCGGGTCCGAGAACTCATGAGGCAACCTGGTAACTTCAAGTTTCTGTTTTGTGAGATCTAGGTATTTTGATGATACCTATGAACAGCGCGTCAGCCACACTTTCCGATTTGATTGAGGGTTCCACGATAAGATTGGATTGTAAGTGGCTTACATGTATTCTGTAGGGCTTAATTTCATCAGCACCGCCGGCGGGGACAGCCTCTTCAACCTCAGCAGCAGCCATTTTCAAGTATAAATTATACCTCTAACTATCCCAATATACACGAGTATATACACGAGTATCACGTCAAAAGGCAACACAACATCGATTGAGGTAACGAGTGAACGAAAAGACAAATAATGAGAGACGCATGAACAAGTCACTGAAGAGAAATCAAAATTAGCACATACCTTAGCGTCAGATGGGGGGTAGCAGTAGCTGCATATATACCGCTTATTAAATCAAGCCGTACTTATCCCACTCAATTCAATAAGCGGCTCCCGATTCTTACGTTTAAAGAGTTAAGTAACTTAAATATTTGCCCGACTTTTAAAAGGGATATTGTGTTGGGCTGAAACCTCTTTCCTAATTAAGCAATTTGTTTGTGCATACTTGATTTCAGGCTTTTTATTAGCTAAAAGATTGGCATTAATAAAAAATTAAGGATTTAATAGGTTTTTATTATACAGTTAATGTTTTAATGCGAAAGATAAAATAAAGGAGTAAATTAAGTCATATAATTTAAGTTTAATATATATTTTTTTTATATATATTTAAATAATTTTATAATAAAAGTAATTTAAACATTACAATTGGTATTATTTAATAGTCTCGATTAATGCGAAAATAATGATATAAGTTGTATTTAAATTAACTTTTTTATTATTGTATTATAATAGAATTAAATAGCCTTTGTTTAAAGAGGGAAGCACGTGATACCTTTTACAAGCACTTTTATAATGGGGAGGGTAGCCTGGAACCTAAAAGCATTTAATCGGCTAAGCTAAAGCTGTAAGCTTTTTTATTAGCTGAGAAAGAAGAAATATTTGGGTACCATATTGGATTAAGCTAAAAATAGCTAAGTGAGGTTAGTTTAGGTGAAGACAGCCTAGTCAAATAAGGGATAGTTAAGCTTGAGCAATAAAGAGACCATATACATTACATAAGCACACCATATGATACGGTTAGGAGGCCAGGTTCGAATCCCACACATCCCCCTTTTTAAATTTTTTAAAAAAGCAGTCAACAAAAGAAAAGCCAAAAGAGCCTAGGATAGCCGGAGCATTGTGCCGCCGATGCCGGGCCGCGCGAGGGGGGGTGCGAGGCCCGCGTTAACGGGCCAAGCGCCCCCCCTCGCGCGGCCCGGCAGTGGCAGCACGTAACCCTAGAAAGGGGAAGGAGAAAAGGGAAAATAAATAAGCGGCTAAACTTCAGAGGGGATAGGGACAGGGACGGGGACAGGAATAACGTAATATAATAATATAAGCCTTGCCTTAAGCCTGCCTAAAAGTCGGGATCTTGCGGTCCCCCTCAGGGGGGGGCCCTCGGTTTAAGTGGTAATATTACCGCTTACGGTTTAAACGCTCCAAATATTTGGGGCGCTAGGCCAAGATGAGCCGTACTAGCACGGCTCCAGCCAATGAACCGCGCAGGCTCCGCTTACATCAGCGCGCAGCTCCCGATTTAAGCTGCTCAACCAATGAGCGGCTCGTGCGCCTCTCACACTTTTTGCGCCGCTCGCATCTCTGCGCCGCTCCCGTTTTGAGCGGCTCCCACCAGGGAGTGGCACGTGCGCCACTCTCGATTTAAGCGGCTCCCCTATTGAGCGGTACGTACAGGGTATTATTATATAACCCCGGGCGCACAGACACCTTTATACCCCATAATTACAAATCCACACGCGTGCCTGTAATACGTAACATGGTCTATTTGAAAAACACGTAACCTTCCAATTAAATCAATCGTATACCGTAACCCGTAACTCATAGCCCGTAGCCCGTAGCTCGTAATTTATAACCCGTAATCGTAATTGGAATTATACCAATTAAAAATTAAAAAAATAAACTTACAAGTAGATTCCCATACAAAAACGTATGGGAATATACCTTTTACTTTTTACATATACCTATGCACTTACCCGGAGCGGTACACGTGCCGCTTATTGGTAGAAGCCGCTCAAATCGGGAGCGGCGCAAAGATGCGAGCGGCGCAAAAAGTGTGAAAGGCGCACGAGCCGCTCATTAGTCGAGCGGCTTACAGTGCAAAAGCGGCGCACCAGTTGTACCGCTCAAAAAATATTGATTGGCTCCTAGCGCTAATGCGTATGAATTTGGTGAGCTTCACGTTTTTCCCTAACATTTGGGAGCGGCTCATACCTGGGAGCCGTATGTATACTGTATATATACGGCTACTACTACCCCCCATCTGACGCTAAGGTATTATCTTCATGCCGCCCCATCACTTCCGAGAGATCTTGTTTAATTATACTTGGTTTTAAGGGATCTAAGTGGCTTGACTTCATGTGGCTAAAACTTTTCGTAGTACACCCGAAAACAGGGCAAAAACAACAGGGATGATACTAACTACGGACCAATTGAGATTGAAGTCGACCCCGAATTCAGACTGACAAGGATATAAGAAGGTCGAGACTCTTAAGAGTGAAGTGGCGGTGCATACGTATACCCCCTAGAGAAGTAGAAGTGATCGTCCTATTTCAGTTGCATTAATGAACACCCTTCCTGTCACGTTTTCTATGATAACTTGATTCTTAAATATAGTTATTTTTGTCATATTAGGCGACATTTAAAATACAGGATTAAGAGATATTCGAACGCGTCAAGGTGGCAGACTTTTCCCCTTGTTATCGCGCAGTACCCTCACCACCACGCATGACGCTAACATCTGAGGCTTCCCCATAGCTAATTTCGTAGAACCTGTTAAGGCTTAAAATAGAGCTCTAGATGGGGCGAATGGTGGTGCAACGGCTGAACGCGACAGCACCCGACAGTCGAACGAACGAACGTCCGATGGAGACTTCCTGAGGTATGCAAAATATTGAGCCCTCCAAGTTCGCTTAAAACCCCCCCATCACCTAGATAGTAGTGCAAGAGCTGAGCTTGTTTGAATTGAGCGGCGAATTGGTCTCTTTTGAGACATTAGTATAATACATGGTACTCTGCGTGACAGAATAAGTCTCTCGGCTCATTGCAGAGACGGGGCTGCATTAATCGCATAGCAAAACGAGAAACGAGAAACGAAAAAGCAAAGTTGGGCTCAAGCCTTGCTTTCTGTCTCGTCGTCCTCGGTACCTGAGTACCAACCCCAAAACCACCTAATATAGAAAATAGTCTCCATGGTAGCGAATATGCTTATGATAATAACGACAGCGATCTTGGTCCTTCGGGTCATGCCCAATCCTTCAAAGCTGAAGCCCATAGGCGGGGTTTCGTCGGACTGCTGCTTCGAAGGCTCGTTAGCAGGCTTCTTTGCTGAAAGACCGGAACTCGAAGTCGAGAACTTGGAAGCGGCAATTCGAGTTGATTGGTTCGATAGATGCGAGTTGAATGTGGGTGTGGGTCTGTAGTAGGGATACGCAATGCGTCCTCTTACAGCGCTCACGCTACTGCGGGCTGTTGTTGTAATAAAGCGACCGGCAATCATTTTGATATATAGAAAATTGAAGATAGGTATGTATATATAAATGAAGAGCTGTATCTTTTAGTCTGATGAATATAAATCATGATTTCGACGTAGAGGAATGAATGAATACTTATACCTCAGTTGCGAGGAGTCATAGACGGGTTGATACGCATGAAGCCCGCTTGGCAACCCTGAATACGGCGTATTGGGTATGCGGTCACATTCTCACATGAATGTGTATGTCAATTTGCTCAGATATGTATCCGTTATGTAGAAGCGCAAGCGAGGTTTATATATATATATATGTATATATATATATACATATAAGTTATGAACGATATTGTCTGCTATTCTTATGGATTTACTTCCTTAGGTACCTAAGGTATTATAACCAAATCCCGACTACTTGGGAGGGGGGTAAGACAAAGGAGGGAAATAGAATTCGAATTATGGAGTATGTTACTTAAGACGATAAAACACGTTGTTCGTCACAGGCACTAATGGGGTAGTGGTAACCTCGGAGTTTCCCATCTTCTGAAGATACTACTCTGGCCCCGTGTTCGATTCACGGTTAGTGCAATCTTATGATTGACGCCCATTGGAGACCAACTCTATTTTTTTGTCTTTTCCCCCATCGTTTCCTTTGGAATCGGGGATTCTTTTTGCTGGGTTCCTGTTTCTGTATAGATGTATATTAATTCTATATGAATGAAAATAGAGAAATTATATTCATTGTAGTTTAACTCACATATAGGTATTAGTTTACTTGCAATAGGATACACATTTGAAAAAGACCTCAATACCTGATTCGTATGCTCTCGCTAATAGTGGTGGCTCAACTTACACCAGCCACTTAGATCTATCCGCGGGGCAAACCTAAGAGCTTGGGCCACAAGTCGGGCGTCCTAGGTCTTTCCGGGGTAAATCTTAGCAACTCAAGTTCCAAGAGGTACCTAACTTAAACGTCACGATGTATTTGTATTCTACCAGCTTCTCTTTCCCTTGACCTCCCCTCACACACACTTCCCTACCACATATTCCGATTTTCTAAAGTCTCTGCGATACGTACATATAATTCATACATAAACCATGAGCATCAAAGGCGACAAGATCGAGAAGATCATTGCTCGCCTACAGCAGCGAATCAGTGAGGGGCAGTTCTACGAAGCCCAGCAGCAAACTCGCGTCGTAGCAGCTCGATACACCAAGGCCGCTAACTGGGATGCCGCTATAAATATCCTCTACAATGTTGCACAATCACTTCTGAAGGCGGGCCAGGGCGGCAGCGGTGGCGATCTCTGCGTGCTGCTAGTCGAAACCTACAAACAGGCGGAGCTGAAGCCTGATGCCGTGAACAAGGGCCGATTGCTCACGTGTTTGCGCTTGTTCGACAGCGAGGAACCTACACGCAAGAAGTTCATTGGGGAGATCATAACGTGCGTTACGCCTGTTTAATTAAGCGTTCCGTTAAGCTGTCTACCATGCTAACTAACGTCTATATAGATGGTCCTCCAAATTCGGCGAGTACCCCGCGGGCGACCCCGAACTGCATCATGTTGCGGGCTCGCTATATGCAGAAGAGCACGAACCGTACGATGCGGAGAGACATCTGATTCTTGGAACGAAGGACTCGGCTGAGGTGTTGGCTCGCTTAGAATACGAATGGTTCAAGGAGGATGACCCACATACGGCCGCTTTATACGCCGCGCGAGGAGTGCTGCCGTATCTTCTCACGGGCAACGTCCGATCGGCGAATACGTGCTACCGAATATTCACCAGCGCCCTCAGCCAGGACAAGCAAGGCCAGCTTAACATCCAGGACGTCAGCACCAACAGCGTCGACATTCGAGTGTGCCCTAGTATACCCCTCCTTAATTTCCTAGGGCTCCTGCTACTTGCGGTCCAGCGAGCGAATCCGGACTTATACAAGCAACTACACAGCAAATACGCTACCCTCCTAGCCGAAGCCGAGTCGTGGCACGAGTCCTTGGAGATCATCGCCGAGATGTACTTCGGCATCCAGAAGCCACGACAGAGCAACCCGCTGATGGACATGATGAGCGGCTTCTTTGGCGGTAGTGGTGGGGGTGGCGCTGCAGCGGGTGGAGGCGCAAAGAGGCCGACCCTGAAGGGTCCTACTTCCACGATGCCGGCTGCTGAGGGATTGGATTAGATTAGATTAGATAACTGTTTAGAGTCACGATAGCCGTATAATTATCGTAGCTAGGCATTCACGACGAATATCATTGCGGCCGATGCTGCTCTTCTGGCTCGTACATCCAGTTATCTTCGGCTAGGGCTGCTACTTTAGCTCTCATGCTAGCTCGGAGTGTCTCTAAGACCTCTTATTTCGTGTTAGCATAAGCTTCGGAGTTGTTTGCTTAGAGGCTATTCGCATAGTCTTACCTTCGGGTTGCGCTGGCGTGCGGTTGTGGTTTATTTGGTAGTGCTTGACTGCCTCTGCTAGTCTTTGTCTCTCGCCTATAAATACGGTGCATTAGTAGCCGCGCACCATAGGATACTGCCCTATTAATCTCATAGACTTAACGTGGTATTTTACGTACGCTCGCTCTCCTGCGCGTCATCCAATGCGCCTCCTTCCTCCGAATCGTCCAGAGGGGGTGTAGGCGGATCACCAACGTCGAACTCGCCGTTCTTGTCGCGGACAACAATGTCAGAGGTATCGGATAGCACTTCGACGTCTCCGAGACGTAATGTCTCGGCGGAGTTATTGGAAGATTGGGAGGAGGTCGTGGGTGTTGGGCGGCGAGTAAGTTGGCTTTGGAATAGGTTGCGCCGTATGCCTGCCGTGTTCGTGCGCGCGGTTCTATTAGTGCCCGGGCGAGCGTGAGGGGGTGGACGGTCGGCCATGTCTGATTGCCTAACTAAGGATGAAGTGTCTCGTTTATTTTATCGTAATTGGAAGAGTAGAAGAGAAAAGCAATATTAATTATGCTGGATTGCACTTAGAATGTTGCCGTTATGCTACTGAAGAAACAATGGCTAAATGGTATCTTATCAATACCTATGTTGACATTCGAAAAGAAATAAAGTCCAAGCAGGGACCAGGTTCCATTATTAGCTGCCCCTGTCTAGGTAACCTTAGGTACCTGGTAGGTACATAGCTCTTATGCATTGTGGGGTAACCCTGTTTTGGTTATGAGCGTTTGTTACCTTGTCTACTTGTCTCGATTAATATAGGTAGCTCCTACCTTTTATACTCTTCGATGAAGGCCTTGACTTCCCATTTCTATAAACTACCTCCTAAGGTACCTTCTATTATAATTTATCAATACCAAAACTCCATTCACTTCTCAAGTATCGGCGTAGCACAATATACCGTGCTACTCCCTACCATGGCGAACGCTTTCAATATTCATCCCACCGGCCGTTTCAACGGCGAAAGCGAAGCTGTAAAGAGACCTAAGGTATGTATACTTCGACCATACGACTATAATAATATCAATATCCCAATTTTCCCAGACTTATAATGCTTGGAGGTCATCGCCAATACCTAAATTGCTCGTTATAGGAAATAGCATGTTTCTCTTACGATAACAAACACGAGTTTCATCTGGATGATCGATCAATGCAGTGGTACTATCCTCCCACGCTCGGGGCCGATCTATCTAAAGGGTTCGATCGATTTGATAAGCATGACAATTCCAATGATGAGCATATCGATAGTCTTCTCAAGACGATCATGGCTCATGAAGAAGAGGAAGGAAAGAAGATTGATGCGCACGTCGTTACTTGGCGCGGTATGATGACCAAGGTACACTTAGACGCGACTAGCTATACTTACTAGGAAGTTCTATCTGACTCTTATAGATCATGTCGGCGCCCTTTGATGACAGAGATGGGTACGTAAACTTATAAGTGATGTTACTTACCATCCAATTCTAACGTACCATCTATCCAGCTTTGAAATGAATGCTACCCTTTACCAAGTGAGCGACCCGAATACCCTCCGATGTAATCTAAGCTGATCATTTGCTGAAGGATTGCATGTATGCTAGAAAGAATATCACCGGCGGTATTTCCGCTAATCTAATAACACAATAGCTTCATCGAAGAGAATTTTGCCTATGGTCAAGCTAAGCAACAAGAGCAACATCAGCAACAACAGTCGCGGCGAGGGCAGCAGTTCTCGCCAGATATCATGACATACTGGGGTAAAGGAAGCAATCTCCATTTTAAAAACTCACATTAGCTTACCCCTTTTATAGGTTACAAATTCGAGACGCTGTCTTGTCTCCCACGTCCTTGGGGAGAGGTCGACAGAGAAACCATTGAAAACAGAGACGAAGAAATTGTCAATAATAAGGCTCAGTATTGCTCTGTAGTTCGCACTGGGATTGGCAAGACGATATTGTGTTTAGGAGGGGAGGTCGATGCCAGTAAGTCTTTACTTCCGCATCAGGTCTAAAACATATACTCACGACGGGCTTCCAGTCTGGGACTCCAAGCCGAAAGAGAAAGGTGCACCGATCAACTGGATCGAGCTGAAGACCAGCGTCGAAATTCGCGACGATAGAAGCATGCAGAACTTTGAGCGAAAGCTCATGAAATTCTGGATCCAATCCTTCCTACTTGGCGTGCCGAAGATAATCGTGGGGTTCCGTTCACAGCAGGGGATTCTCACGAAGATTGAAGAGATCCAGACGGCCAAGATACCTGAGACAGCTGCGAAGCGAGGTGTTAGAAGCTGGAACGCAAATGCGTGTATCAACTTCGCTAGCGCCTTTCTGGAGTGTAAGACCGACCAAAAATACGCACGATCATTATATATATGCTAATGTAGCTATAGGGCTAAGAAATACCATCAATGACGAGGGTGTCTGGAGAATAAGAAGACGACCTCGTTCTGGGGCTATTGAGGTGTTTAAAGTCGAAGAGGTCGGCCACGGAAGGATTCTCACGGACGAATTCATCAATTGGCGTATAAAGCTAAGCCTCAATAACGGTAGCGGTAGTTCCTGAAGTGATTTCTGTCTAATAAGCTCTACCAGAGCTCGGTGGGATATGGATCTATGTCATCTATAACGCTAGCTCCTCTCTAGATACCCGATCGCAAATCTATGCAATCTTAACTCTCTATCATATATCCTGTCATACATCTATAACTCGCTTATCGGTTGAGTTTTACATGCATCTTACGTCGTATAGGATCATAACTAGTTCCGTGTTTAGGATTTCCGTAAGTTTGTTCCCCGTGGCCGTTGTCGTTTATGCTGTTCAAGTCTACCTCAAATGCCATGTGATTAAGAAAATTACAAACCTATAGCCGTTAGTAAAACTCCATTCCAGAGCGGGAACCAAAATAACTCACGGGCTTTCCATGCCATCGCCCTCCGCCAATCTCGAACCATCCTAAGTGTCCACCGAGCGAAGTCGTACACAGCACCGTGTACGGATTCGTCGACGCCTCGGCGTACGGCAGAGCTAGGTGCGAGACGATCGGGTCGTCCTCGGCGTTGAGCGCGAGAAGAGGGATTCGCACCGCGAGCAGCGAGTCGGAGCTCGACGCGTCTCTGTAGTACGCCTCTTCCGTGGGGTACCCCCAGGTCGGGCACTGGTAGGCTCTGTCGAATTCGTAGAGGTACTTTAGGCCGAGTAGGTGGTCTGTGTCGATGTTGGTGTACTTGTCGAGTTCTTCCTTGTGCCGCGACGATAGGGCTCTCATGGAATCTGGGGTGGGTTTGGTTTTAGTTTTTAGTTTTCATTTTGGGGGGAGGGGGGTTGGTGCTCGGAAGAAGGAGAAAGGGGGGGGGAGTAGATACTTACTGCCGAGAACGCGTTGGTAGATGTGGTGTCCGATGAATGAGCTCTGTAACATCTTGGATGATATGTGTAGAGCCCAGGGGTTGGCTACCACGACGGCGGCTTTGAGGGGGGTTGCGGAGCCTTCCTCGCCGAGGTACTAACGATGTGTTAATGTGACTTTCTTTGAAGTGGTTCTTTCAGGTTTGAGGGTCAGTGACTTACATTTGTGAGGATGCAGGCTCCGAGTGAGAAGCCGAGGCCGAATAGGGGCCGGTTAGGATATGTTTTTGTGAGCCATTTGATAGTCTAGATGTACGTTAATATGAGTAGATATTTAAGGGGTATAGATGGTAATGAGGGGGTGGCTTACTTGTCTAACATCCCAGGTAGCTCGTGCGTTGTAGAGCAATCCCGTCGTGATCTTGCTGTTGGCGCAACCCCTCGAAGTAACGACGCAGGCCTCCCACTTCCCACTGTCGATCAACGGTGCAATGGCATATCTGAGATACACCTCATGCGAGCCACCCGACAGGCCGTGGAGAACGACAAGCATAGGCTTATCATCGTCCGACCCCAGAGTCGAGAGCTCGTCCTCGGTGAAATACGCCGTCCTCGGGGGCAAAGTCTCATCAGCTTCCTCCTTAAGCGAGGGGCCCGTCACAGCGAAGTCTACGGCAAAACTACCGTTGAACTCGGCGTGGTCTGCCTCGAAGATCTTCCGCTTGTAGTGCAGCGGCGGGCCGTGGGCTTTGGCGGCCGTCCACATCGTCTGGGCATGTCCGTTGAAGAGCAGCGGGTTTAACTGGCACGGCGGGACTGCGGCCTGGCATACTTTGAGCAAGTCCGTTTCCTGCCCGTCTTTCTCCTTCAGGCCGAGAGACTTGGGCGAGGTTGTGAAGTTGATGCTGGCCCGTCCGAACCAATCCATTTTTGACCGCTAGTACATACACTCCGTCTTAGTCTGGGGAGGGATTGACTTTTGCCTAGGGCCCGAATGGGAATTACAATTAGATTATATGTAGATACGTTATGATCTTGTTTTAACCAAATTAGAAGGAAATATATATTTAAGAATTGATCTAAAGATGTGGCATGGGTTGGTACCTATATAATGTGAAGATAGCAAAATGGACAAGAAGGCCCCGTTATTAGGATAGTATCGTCCAGGGGCAATCCAGTGTTACTGTCGCCCTCCACTTACCTCGGTTCATACCGCATTTGGCAATAGTGGTCCTACTCGAGTATGTCGTCGCCCGAGACCTATGTATGTATAGGCACGGTGAAGAGAAAAGCGACTGGGGATGCAGCTAAAGCGTTGTATGCACTATATAGGTATTGGTATATCAAGAATTTTTCTAACACATATATATATCTAGTAAGTACCCAGGTACCTCCTAGTGTTCTGAAAATAGTAGTATTCCTTTTTATCGAATTGACTTTTTGAGCCGCAACTAAATCTTATCGGGGATGCCTGGTAGCGGACGATGATACCTTACCTAAGGTACTACGGTAGAATACCTAACGGCGCACTAATACATAGACTGGTGGAACTGTATGTGGTTAATCGTGCATGTGCAAGGCCCGAGGGCCACCGATCTCATGCAGCATCTAATCTCTTCACGGAAGAGCTTATGATAACTCCCTTACGTCAATTTTTATGAGAGGGAACATTGGAATTACGGTATGAATATTTATAAATAGTTATAGTAAACTCGATGTATTTAAGTTAAGGTACATAAGCACTTATATAGATAAGACGGCGATAAGATAAACATAGGTACGTCGGCCAAGTCCAGCTTTTTGTCAATCACGTGACGTTACTCTCAGACTTACAACGTCGCGGCGCGCGCTTGTAGCTGATCTTCTACTAACCATCTCGAACAAATACCTACCGGTGTAAGATATCAACCCTACAAAACAGCAATTACCGGATTTCAACGTAATATAATTGCGTCCCTATATAACATAGGGATGGGTTTGTATAGCGTGTAGTGCAATGAAATTATGACATATCGCGGCTCGATGCCCCATGGTCAAGGCTCGGGGTTCAATGGCCAGCAAACTCAATATCCCCAGGCCTCAAACAACGGCTACGACGCCTGGGGCAACCCACAGTTTCAGCAGCCTTATCAAAACGCCGTTTTCGCTTCACCATCTTACCCGTCTCAACCGCAGCCCCAGCAACATCAGCAACATCAGCAACATCCTCACCAGTACAATGCGCACCCGCACCCGCACCCGCAGCAGCAATCGCAAAATGCGAACTATCAGTTCCTTTCGTACGACCCCTCCCTCGCTCAGCGACCTATCCAACCCATCCAACCTTC